CCCTTATCTCCCTTAATAAAAGCCTGTGCTGTCTGTAATGCTACCCTACAATGAGATCCCAAAATAGAATGTTTGGTTTGAACATCGCCTGAAAGAATGCCATTGGCTTCACAAATTGACCTACGGTGTGCCTTCCCACATGCATTACATTTATTATTATTATTACAATTTTTACTGACATTTCCTTTCTTCAACCAAATAAAACATCTTCCGTACTTACGAATCAGCTGTTTTCTCTCATTTACATTAATGACTTTCTTACAATCCTCCGGTCTGTGTTCCCCGAGACAATAAACGCAGTTTCGTGCTGCTTTATCGTTTGTTGACCCCTCGTTGCGACCTTCGTGTTTTGCGTGAAGCGCTGACGCCGACCCGATTTGTCTATAATGTCTCCATCTTTCTCGTTGTTTCTCCCCGTCATTTCCCTTGCTTCTTTGTCCGATCGGCTTGTGAGCTTCTCGAAGCTCTAACTCTTTAAGAATCGCATTCAACGCCTCTTTCATTGACCACTGAGGGAAATCGTGGCCTCTTGTAGTCGTCAATCGAAAGGCGTCTGGTAACTTTGCAATAATTTCTGGTACTACGATTGCTGAATACGCGGCTTCGTCCACTCCTAGGGCCTTTAACCCACGGTAGTTCGTCTCGCAGGTGTCGTATAACCGCCGTAGCTTGTCGATATCTCCTTCGTCCGTTATGGATTTTAACATTCATCAGCTCCTGGATGTGTGCTTTCTGGATCACGTTCTTTTTGCCGTATCTACTTTTCAATAACTCTACTGCTTCGTGATAGTTCGCCGAAGTTAACGCTAATCCCGTTGCGGGTTCGAGTAAAAGACTCCTCAAGTACGCAAACTTGTTTACGTCCGCCAATCCATCATTGCTATTCACCGCACTGTCAAGCGAATCCCAAAAATCTTGCCTTTCCTTTAACCGTCAGCTAAATTTCTTTACTTCCAGCTTTGGGAGTTTTGCTCGAATAACTCTTTGCGTCTTACTACTCGAACTGCTATTCAATGTGTCGTTCAATGTCCTTGTTGCCGTTTCAACTGAGAGAATTGACTTCTTGATGATATCGTTTGAATCCAAAATTAGTCTCTCGAATTCCGCTCGTATCTCATCCGCATCTTCTATTTCTTTACCCAGTTCTTCTTCCACATTTTCTTCCATTATTTCGCTCAGGAGTTCGATAACTGTTTCATCAAAGACTTTCAATGCTGCAATTTTATAATTTAACCCCTCTCGTAATTGTTTCAATTCATTTCTATCGATCTCACCGTCTGTTCCTCTTATTTTGTCTTTCAAATTACTGGCGATTTTTCTCGCCGATCTTCTATGTCCTGCGGGCACTCGTTTCTTTTTCATTAACTCTTCCATTGTTCTTTCCAACTACCGAACTGGAATTTTCTAAATAAAAGCTCCGACTCGAAGGACCACGTGTAGCAAATTTCTCCCTTGCTTGTTAGCACAAAGCAGTTATGCGTCCACCGGTTCTCTATGGGACTGTATACTAAAGCTAACGCGTAGTCAAACACAATTCTCAAATGTCATCAATTTAATTTTCTAGTCACAGTTATACATCAATTCCAATTCATGCTCCTTACTCGTTCACATGCATCAACAAAAGACAATGCCGTCTTAATTTGACCCTTCTAAAATACTTAATAATCATAAGTTCCTTTTTCCGCTTTAACGATACGTTCCTAGTCTCAAATAACAATTATTATTTATTTACATAATTATATTATTAATTTATTTACATAATTTCAGACAGTGATATCTAATATCTATGTGTTTAGACCTTTTGTGGTACATAGGGTTCTTTGCTAAGTCAATTGCCTCCTGATTGTCAACATTCAACAAACTACACTTGCCTTCCTTACAAATACGCAAATCAACACACAACTGTTTCGAAAATTTTGCTTCCTGAATAGCTTCAGTCAATGCCATATACTCAGCTTCACAAGTTAACAAAGCAACTGTAGATTGATTCTTACTCCTCCAAGAAACCAAACCACCGTTCTCACTCAACCTGAAACCGTAACCTGAAACACTACGCCTGTCATCCACATCGCCAGCCCAATCAGAATTAGAAAAACCAACCAATTTTAAAACACTTTCACATTTTCTAATTGTCTGATCTATTGTATCCTTTAAGTATCTAAGAACATGATTTGTCTCTATTAGGTTTGCTTGTGTCGGTTTTGCCATCTTTTGAGACAGCATTGTTACAATAAATCACAGATAAGGTCTAGTTCCTGTCATAACATATATAAGAGTACCAGCAGTTTGTCTCTAAAGACTCGGATCTTCTAACTTAGGCGATTGATCATGCGACATTTTATTTGTATCGGAAGAAGATGAAGTGGGTTTGGGTTTACACTCTGACATGCCAAATTTTGTTAGTAGCTTAATAATATATTGCCTTTGACTCATTGTTATTTCACTTTCTGAGCATTGGAATTCAGTACCTAAGACCCAGGACAATATTCCTAAATCTTTCATCTTAAAACGGTTACTTAAGATTTTCTTGACACTTTGCATTAACGTGTCATTGTAAGCAACATTGACAATATCATCTACCCATACTATTAGAATACTAACATCTTTTCCTTCAAATCGCGTGTAAACGCATTTGTCGCATAACGATTGTTTGAAAGTTTTCCCGATGAAGTGTTCATGCAATACGTTATTCCAATTCCTATCACTTTGTTTTAATCCATACAAAGACTTTTCCAACCTGTACACTAATTTTTTACCATTTTTATCTACTTCCATATATCCTTCGGGTTGATGCATATAAATTTCGCAGTCTATTGGGACGTTAAGATAAGTTGTGTTTACATCCATCTGATGCAATAACATGTTGTTTTAAACAGCGTGTTAAAGCAATACACTGATAGAGCTCATGCGTGCAGTTGGCGGAAAGGTTTCGTTGTAGTCAATACCGGGAGTCTGCGAGTATCCCTTTGCTACATAACGGGCCTTATGGGTCTCTCTTCATGTTGCCCTACTTTTACGGTGTATACCCATCCCCCCCTATGTCTCTATTTGTTGGGGGTGGAACAAGTTCAAACTTATCATTGTCAACTAACGCTTTCATTTCATCATTTATGGCTTTTTGCCATTTTACCTTTTTCATTGGAGCTTATTGCTTGGGAATAGGCCGTTGTGATGTTGGATACTCTATAGCAGTAATCTACGGTATATGAGACAGTATCCTCCCCTGCAACTTCTTCTCTCACATACTCGTTAAAATATTTAGGCTTACTTCTTATCCTGATGGGGTATCTTGATTCTCTAGATGTCTCTGAAGCACTAATGTCTTCATTAGTTGTTTTGGGGTTTCGTTCATGCAAATTAGCTATCTGAGGTGCAAGTTCTTCATCATCTACTTCTGGCAGTTCCGTGCTATCCTCCTAAAGGACTTAACGCATCTTACACGCTCAACCTTGTTAATGTCAGGGTAGTATATGCTGGACTATCTGCAAATTCAATAACATGTGCTTTACTATTAAATTTACTATCAAAATCTATAAATTTTCGACTTATCGTTAATAATGTGACTTGTAGCTCTTGTATCCACCAGTAGAGTTAAATTCGCTTGATCCTTATCAATCACGTCCACATCAGCGTTCTCTTCTTCATCCTTTGACACGAATAAAAAGGAGTGTTGCCGTTCACTGTCACAGCGCTGCCCGTCTTTAGCTGACTTGGACGTTTCTTTCGTCTTTCGGCAATCTTTCGTATCGAGGGTCTTGGTCTTGCACATGGAGCACCATTTATTCCCCTTCACTCGGCATTGTGAGATTTTGTGTCTCTTTCTTCCACGTTTGAAATAATTTCCGTCAAATTTTGGTTTCACATACATAACGTTGTCACCTACCTCAGCTTTCTCTCTCACTTGATTATTCGATAAATACGTCTTACAATTTTTGAATACGCACACATAGCCCAAGAATTTTTTTTCCAAACTTTTAATTGCTTTCGCTTCCATCGAAAAATAAACCTCTTCTGGGCCCATAACCTGTAGAGTTCGAGTTACTCGCCATATCTCTTTTCGTAATATACTCCATACCTTCAGTAACAACCACGAGTGAACTTAATAATGGAACTGATTTTGATATTTTCAAGAGCAGTATTTATAATATTTATTACATATAACAAATATTATTATTGGTCGGAATAGTTCCTCTATTTAAGCTATATAGGGTACATAAGGAAATTTAACTAACGTCAATAAATGTTCTTTGGCTGTTAGCCGTGTGAAAACGGATACATTGGTAAAGCAAACTACGCACATACTTTTTCCTTAACATGTTTCTGTGGTTTATGAGCATGACTCAACAAAATGGAAGACAAGTTTTTTGAGCTTTTTTGTTATTTTCTAGATTTTCCAAAACATTTCAAGTGTGAGGCATGTTTTAAGAAACTTTAAATGCATGCAAAGAAACACAATAAGTAAATTGTACATTTTATGGCATTTACAGGAAATTTCCATGTCGATTACATACAGAATACTATAAAATGGTAATAACAAAATTTACCACAATATTTTAGAGTGTGTAATTAATTTGTTCTTTAAATGTTCGCCTGGACGAGGTCTCAATTCTGCATACTACACAACTAGAATGAATTTTTTGTTTTTTTTTTCTATAAAACATGACTTACAAGACATGTCCTATATTTTACATGAGTTAAAAAATTGAAACTATTCATGTTGTTATAAATATTTCAAAAATTTCCCAGTGCAGAAGCAATTTTCAGCGCCATTTCGCTAGTGACTGACCTGGAACAATTTTTGTGCCTTTCCACCCCCCAAAATCCTGGCGACGCCACTGCCAAAATGTAGCCAAATGCCTAAATGCAGGAAAACTAAATGTCCAATTGCGTTGTTTTCAGCTGCCATCCTCGATATTCATTCTCACATATAAGTAAAACTGTAACATTACGTACCTATGTTACATCTTCAACAATTTTAGTTGTCTATAAACTCTAATTAAAGAACCAATTTATCTTGATATTAATAATTTTATGACCTTTAGATGCAGTCAAGAGAAAAAATTAATAACTCGTATCTGCAAGAAATACTTACAGATGTTGTTGAAAAGAAACTTGTTGATCTTTTTATTCAAAATTGGGACACTCATTACAAAACATCCCACGGAGAATGGGAAAATACAAACGTCAGTGGTATGAAGTTGTTCAATATTGAAAAAACAAAAATGAAACCTAAACCTCATGACAAACACATTATGTCAAAATTTCAAGATGGTGACACCAGTAAGTGGGATTGTACAACACTATTTGCAGCAATATTGTTTTCGAACTCAGTTGGAACAAAACTTGACTCTAAATCTAAGGCTGCTGTGGATAAACTTCGTGTTATCAGAAACAACTTCATCCATGAAAATAAAGAAAAGTTGCTGATGACGAATTTCAAACAATGCTTTGTGATATTGAAAAGTCATTTAAAGATCTAGCATTTTCATTCACTGAAATTAATAAAATTAAATGTCAACGAAACACATTTAATTCTTTTCAAAAACTTCCTTGCAAACCAAATCACAATGTGGTTAAACGTACAGAGTTACTTAATCAAATCACAGCAGATCTCAATAACTTGCGCAGTACCAACAATAATGAACTAACATATTACTATATTTCTGGTAATCCTGGCAGTGGTAAATCTGAATTAGCTAGACAAATTTGCGAAGAAATGTATAACTCGTTTGACTGGGAAAATAAAACAACATTTGTGATGACACTTGAAGGAAAAGATATCGACTCTCTTTTAAAAACTTACGCTGAACTTTGTCAACGATTAAGCAATGATAAAACTGTCATTGAAAATAATCTGAAAGAAGCAAAAAGCAGCGAAGAAAAAATTGAAGATTTTCAATTATTGCTGACACAACAACTGAAATCTTGGCAAACATGGTGGATTGTTGTAGTTAACGTGGTTCAACTTCATAAAATTTATCCATTATTACCTCAAGTTGGTGATCATAGCTGGAAAAATGGTCAAATTATAGTAACTGTCCAAAATACAGATGCTATACCACCAGATGGAAATCTAAATAAACACATTTCAGTTAGTCATGGTATGAACAATGAAGAATGTCGACAACTTCTATCTGTCTTTTCTGATATTCATAATAAAGATGATAAATATTTAAAGGATGTATCAGACAAATTAAATCGTCAACCGTTGTTCCTGGCAAATGCTGCTTCCTACGTAGGTAGTGTAAAAAGTGCAAATCCGACATTCACGTGGGAGAAATATTTTGATAAATTGAAAGAAGGAGAGCGACAGAACATGGATGCCAGTTTTCAAAAATTAAACTCAACTTTCTTAGGAATGAGAACTGTTATGTTAGCAGTACAAAAAAATGCCGAAGAATCCATATTATTGGAACATGTTTTTAAACTTTTCTCAATAATATCTTTCGATCCCATACCACAAGATGTTATAATACAATTTATTAAAAGCATTGATCCACAAAATCTGCAGAAGATGTCTGTCTTCAATTAAAGCATTGTTCTTTATTCCTTCAAACGGAAAACAACGACATCCGCCTGCACAGAGTTTTACACGAAGCCATCATAAATTATTCATCGAAGACCTTTGGTTGTAAAAAAAACGAAAATAATTCTAAAAAGTCTGCAGCTGATCTTGCCTGTCAAGTTGCTTGTGCACTAAAGCATTTTAAAGACAGAGAAGATGAAATCAAAATAATTCCACATCTAATTAAATTCATCACAAATTCATCATTTCAACATTTCCTAAATAAGTTGATCGATGTAAAATCATCAAACCAAAAACTTCATGATAGAAATTGGAAGTTTGCCAAATATTTTGTAGATGTTTTGAAAAGATTTTGCAACTATAAACTTGCAATTAAAGTACTTTACGAAATAAAAGAAATTCAAACTAAAGTGTTAGGTGTTGATCATATTGATGTTTCATATTCGTACAACGAGCTGGGTAAGTTGCTTACGATGAATGGAGAATATGAAAATGCTAAAGATTTTGTCGAGCAAGCAATGGAAATTCAAACAAAAACACTTGGACCTGACCATGTTAATATTGCGAAAACGTACCACAATCTGGGTTCGGTTTACAGTGAAATGGGAGAGTTCGAAGAAGCAAAAGATTTTTTAGAACGAGCGATAGAAATTCAAACGAAGCATTTGGACCTGACCATGTCAATATTGCGATAACGTACAACAATCTGGGTTTGGTATACAGTTTTATGGGAGAGTACGAAAAAGCAACAGATTTTCATAAACGAGCTATAGAAATTAAAACAAAAGCATTTGGACCTGACAATGTTGATATTGCGAGAACGTACAACAATCTGGGTTTGGTTTGCATTAAAATGGGAGAGTACGAAAAAGCAAAAGATTTTTGTGAACGAGCGATAGAAATTCAAACGAAAACATTTGGACCTGACCATGTTAATATTGTGATAATGTGCAACAATCTGGGTTCGGTTTACTGTAAAATGGGAGAGTACGAAAAAGCAAAAGATTTTTATGAACGAGTGATAGAAATTAAAATAAAAACATTTGGACCTAACCATGTTAATATTGCGAGAACGTACAGCAATCTGGGTTTGGTTTGCACTAAAATGGGAGAGTACGAAAAGCAAAAGATTTTATGAACGAGCGTTAGAAATTGACACGAAAACATTTGGACATGACCATGTTAATATTGTGACAATCTACAACAATCTGGGTTTGGTTTACAGAGATATGGGAGAGTACGAAAAAGCAAAAGATTTTTATGAACGAGCGATAGAAATTCAAACAAAAGCATTTGGACCTGAACATGTTAATATTTCGAAAATGTCCCAGAATCTGCGTTCGTTTTACAGAGATATGGGAGAGTACGAAAAAGCAAAAGATTTTTATGGACGAGCGATAGAAATTAAAACAAAAGCATTTGAACCTGACCATGTTAATATTGCGAGAACGTACAAAAATCTGGGTTTGGTTTACAGTAAAATGGGAGAGTACGAATATTTTTCTAAATAATGCAATTACATGGATGCAAAAAGTTTCAGCACTTGCAAAAAGCATTGAAAGTGGCAAACCAACTGAAAAAAATAAATTTACACCATCAAATGCATGCATCATAACCACCTCTTACAAACTAAGAACATTTAGGTAAAAATAGAGAAAAATGTGTGTAACAGACCTCTCTCATGTTTCAAATTTAAGAATTTTTTAGGAACTCATGTCGACAGCCTCGCCCAAAGATTGCTGTTTCATCAAGAGCTCTGTAGCGATTCATTGATCGAACAGCATTCCCAGCAAGAAAACCATGACACTCCTATAAGTATCAATACGTAACAAACAAAAAAGTATACAAGAGCTTTATTTCCTAAAGCCCATGGCACAAATTTATTGAAAATAAAACTATGTGGTAGAGAATGTAAAAAAATCAAATATATTCAAAGCACTATGCCTGAATTTTCATTAGAATAACAAAGTATATTAAAGCTACATTGACCTTGTTTAATGTAGGTGTGGTATAATTGGCAACAAATTGATCAACATGTGTCTCATCATAGAACATCAGCTGTCCAAATAGAGGTTTTCCAAGACTCTGCCCAGCTTTTCCTTCGTCCAATAAATAGAGCATCAAGAGACTCAAAGATCACACCATCAGTCTTCAATAAAATGGTGAAGGATAAAATCATGCAATTTATTTGAGTTCAATAATGCAAATGATGCAGTCAAAAAGGTGTAAGAGATAGCATTGCTAATGTTCCCTTTACTACATTGTCATTGTTAAACAAGTAAAACGAATCTACTCACTTTGGGACAAGTAGGACAAATATTTCCTTCATCAAGCTCAGGAATAACACAGCTCAACATGTTTAGTTTACGTCTGTAAATTCTGAAAAAACAATGACACAAAGAAAGCAATTATGCACTCTTAAACAAAATACAGTGCAAGACGGTAATACTGGAGAAAAAATCCTTTCCCATCATAAACTTTAGCATTTTGATTTCCTCCAATTAAATACATCTCTTAAGATGATATTCTTAGGCTATAAAATTGACTGCAACTTTCCCAGCAATTCATACGTAGTACAGCAGTGCAATAAATCAGTGACCTACATGCAGTTACTTATATTCTTCAAAAGCATCTATAATGACAGGATACATTTTTGGTGTTGCATAAGAAGAGAATATGTGGTTATGATTAAGCTCTTCAAATGACTGACAAATGCTTTTTATTGATGCCTGGCATTCCATCTGCACACAATGAATCAATTCAAAAAATTAATTGCAAATGCAATTCTTGGTTTTTTAGGTGTTCCACCCCAAAGGCCAATTTGCAGAAGTTGAACAAACTCTGGAGAGCATGAGCAAAACTGTATCTCAACAGTACAAAAGGTGCCTAAAAATTGAAAAAGATCTAAAAGTATAATTGAGTTGAACAATCCCAGCTAAAATGAAATAACTTTTGCAGCACTTTTTACATATAACATACCTTTAACATCAACAACAGAAACACTTCTTTTGTGACAAGCTGTTTGGCATGAACAATCATACACCAGCATGTTCATGAGATTATATGGCCAAATCATGCCATCTTACAAAGCAATGAATAACCTCTTAGAAAATAGTTGTAATCAATCCCCTTTCTTGCATTCATAAAAATATCAGATTAGTGCTTCGTAGCATGTTTCACAATGTAAACTCTCATTTTCACTTTGCATTTTTTGTTGCAAGTGTTGAGAGAGTTAACTTTAAACACATTTATAATATCTAGCTCATAAAGGCTACCTTAAATATTTCAACATGATGACAAATATTTACGGTTGTGTGCATCTTTAACATACAGTTCTCACAATACCTTGCCATCGGACCACAATCGCTGCACCTAAATTTTGCTTCATTATCACAATGAATACACTTCAGATTGCTCCTATTTTGCCAGCAAACTGAAATGTATTCTTTATAATAGAATGTCACAAATTTTCCCATACTTTTGTTTTTTCAACTTTCTGGTAATAAGAAGATGATTCTTCACAATCATGGTGAACATCACTTTCAAGATCACTGTTATCTTGTTCCATTCCCAGTTCATGGCCTTCCAATGCACCACAATTATCAGGACTGTTAATAGAACAGCTTCCTCTATGATCCTCAGTAACCAATTCTGACAAATGCACCTCCTCTCTCTCAACATGGCCATCCTCATCATGATATGTGACAGCTACAGTTGCTTTAAACCTTTTATTGCTCCTACAAAAATTATCATAAAAATCTATAAAATGAAAATAAATGTCGAAAAGTCTAACAGCTATAAGGCCGTTATTTGGTGTACCTTTGCATCTTTTAAAATTACCAGCAAGAAAATCACAAATCAGAAAATATATCGATATTACCAATGACACAATAACATAAATTAAAAGACCAAAGTACAACGTATGTATCTCCCACGACTACCAGCCGACGTTTTGTACCCGTACTTTACCGGCTTTTAGCCACGTCTCATAAGACGAATGGGTGATTTGTTTGTTTGGTAATACGAAAGGGGTTTTTCGTCCGGTATATCGTAGGAGCCCTTTTCTTAGGGGTAGGGTAACATATCTCACGTGACCGGAAACGTAAATCACCGTAAGTGATTTACGAAAGACTACAAACATGGCGGAAGACTACAAACATGGCGGAAGGTTGTGTTTTATTGTCTCGCGATCAATGTAATCTTAAGTGTGATATAGAAAGAATTTATAGTTTTAAAGCTTCTAAATGTATTGTTTATGATGGAAAACGATTAAAATGGCAAAATTCCTTAAAAACACTGCAAGATTTTTTCGAAATTAACCTTGATCAACGAGGTAAATGGTCATCACCGGGAGGTAGTTCAAGAAAGTTTGTCGGTTCAAGCAATGATCTGGTTTGTACTTGGTACTGTGGTAGACAGAATACTTTGATGTTTCAAGGAGAAAGCGGTAATCAACTAAGATATTGTCTAATTCAAATGTGTGTATCTGCAACTTTGGAGGAATTTAAAGCTAATACAAAGGTATGTTGTAGATGTTTACAACGTATTCCTTCCCAAGCCTCAGGTGGAATGACACCTCAACTGTCGAATGTTAACATTAAAGAGTGTATCGAAGATATTAAACTTGATATCGAAATTATTCAAAGCCGAGTCGATGCACTTCAAACTTTAGAAAATACCCAATCTTTTCCCCACGAAGCAAAGGCTCAAATTCTCATAGATGATATAAGGGCATTGCAAACAGAGTTGCAAGTACAAAAGGATAAAAATATCAAACTTGAATTGGAAATTAAAGAGCTTAGAACGGATGTATTAATGTTAAAAAAGAGATTTGAAAACAAAAAGACTGAACGAGCTATTGAAACTAGAAACAATAGACATGAATTTAAAATTTGCAATAATTTTGTTCCATCACAATCGCTTAACTCTCTTGATGATCAACTAGAAATATATCGTGCCAAACACAAAATAATTACACCAAGGCGAAAAACTGTCCGGTTACCCTACAAAATTATACTACAATTAATAACAAACAAAATTTCAATGACACGTTTTCAATGCAAATGACTAAATATCGTGAAAAACAACATATCAAGTATACTACAAATCATGCTGGCATGGAACAACTCCAGATAAACAATTCTGCTGCTACTATCCATCTGGAACAGAAGTCATCAAACCCAGTTGATACAACTCATGAAGTCCTTTCTGATCAAAAACAATTTAACATCGCTTACAGCAATTAACACCGAGCAACTGCCGAGTCCTACTACTGTTTTCCAAAACTCAAAGCAAAACAACTCTAAGGATGGTAATTATCAAGTCAAGTTTAACGCCATTAAATATCCACCATCTCAAACACCTTCTAAAAGTACAAAGAAAAACAATTTTTATCATAAGAGTACCCCTTTTCGGTATTACCATCATCCCCCAACATACTCACATCACCAAGATCTTCGCAAACAAGCTTTTTTGAAGTACGATTATCAGACATCTTGCAAAAGGAAGAACAAAGCAAAAGAATGGTTAACATACCTACACTTTGTTCATCAAACACTGAACGAAAAATAACTACTATTGAACCGCATGTTGACGTTTGTTCTCAGTATAGGACTGGTTTCGGGGCTAAGCTGGGAAGGAAAATGGATCGAATGCATCGTGGCTTAATCGCATCAGATTACACAACCAATGATAACATCTTCTCCATTGACGTTCGTATAACCGAGAGAAACCAATCAAACATATTAAAATAAAGAAGGGATACAATTATGGCAAATGCAACTGTATAGAAATTATAACTAATAGTAATGATCCAGTAAAACCTTTCTCCCAACAATCATGCTCACAAATGCATGTCATATAACTAATAAAATTGATGAACTACATGGAGTCGTCATGAATAATGGTCCTGAAGTTGTACTGATTACAGAATCCTGGCTTTCTCCAAATATACCAGACACAGCAATATCGATTAATGATGAATACAAAATATTTCGCAAAGACAGACCCACCCTTGGCGGAGGAGTTCTTACTTATGTACATCAAAGTATACCTGTTAGTCGTAAGTTATTTGATGAAGACAATGATAAAGAGGTGCTATGGTTAGTGCTTAAACCAACAAGAACGCCTCGCCCATTTAGTGCAATTATTATCGTCATTATTTATTATCCACCTGGACAAAGTGCCGAAAAGAACATGATATGATTGAATATCTCATCAAAATTTAGATCAGTTGCTATGTGAACGTCCATCCTCTGCAATTATAGTTGCTGGAGACTTCAATAAATTAAACTTGACTAATCTATGTAATTGTTTCAATTTAAAAATCTATCCTATACCCAACCAGAGGAAAAACGTTTTGGATCAAGTCTTGACAAATATGCGAGATATGTATAAACCAACACAGCATCTACCACCATTGGGACGTTCTGATCACAATTGCCTTCTATTAGTGCCAAAACAGAAAGAAAAAACACCAACAATTCCCAGAAGGGTAAGACTCTTAACACCTGGAAAAGTAAATGTCTTATGCAGAAAACTTATTCTTGAAGATTGGTCGGAGGTCTTTAATGTACAAGATGTAGATGAAAAGTAAATGCTTTTACCTCGACGATGCTTAGTATTATGGATGAAACTATTCCTGAAAAACAGTACGAATGCATGCTTCAGATAAACCTTGGATGACAAGCTTTATAAAATCAAAGATCAAAGCCAGACAACGTGCTTTCTCATGTAAAAATCAAGCACGTTATGAAAAACTATGCTCTGATGTCTCAAAACTTATAAACAACGCCAAAATTTCATATTACAAACGAAAAGCAAAAGACTTTCGTACGACTAACCCCAAAAAATGGTATAAATCAATCTTCTTAATGTTGGGAATTAATAGCAGGAATAATGTAAAAAGAAATGTTTATGATGAAAATGTACTGGAACTAGCTGAAAAATTACAACAAGTCTTTACAAAACCTTGGTTAAACCAATTACCCAACTACGAAATTGAAGATAACTTGATCAACCAAACGCTTAAGGATGTTAAACCTCCTTTACCATCTATTGGACAGGTCAAGAGTTGTCTACAGCACCTAAATCCCAGAAAAGCAACAGGTGATGACAAAATTCCGGCATGGATACTTAAACGTTTTTGCGAAGATCTTGCACCAGTCGTACACAATATAGTAACCACAAGTATAAAACAATGCAAGTACCCCAGCCAATATAAACATGCACTAATAACTCCAGTTGCTAAAGTTAATAATCCAAGCAATGTTGAAAATGACTTCAGACCTATATCTATCCTTCCTCAAATGGCTAAAGTAATAGACAAACTTCAACTCCATTTGAATAAATCAGATTTCAAAATAAAGAGTAACCAACATGCCTTTACTCATGGCCGATCTACTGTATCTGCTCTAATATCTATGACACAAAATTGGTATAATGCAACAGATAATTCTCAATTAGGTAGAAAGGGAGTTCACGTATTATTTATAGATTTTCGAAAGGCGTTTGACATGGTGAATCACAATATATTACTACAAAATTAGCATCTATGGAAATTAATAAGTCTTTCTGGCAATGGATTCGAAGTTTTTGACAGGAAGAACGCAACAAGTCAACCTACAAGGAGCCATGTCATCCATCCAACCTTGCCCTTTGGCGTGCCACAAGGCGCTGTCATATCACCAGTGCTCTTTAATGTATATATAAATGATTTAGAGGACAATATTCCTAAAGAAATAGATGCTAATACATGTAAATATGCGGATGATTGCACTCAGAACCAGATTGTCGAAAGAGGTGAATGCAGTTCCATGCAAAAATTAATCGACGAATTACGGAAATGGGCTGATAATAACAGAATGGCTCTGAATCCGAAAAAAACAAAGGATATGTGGATATGCTTTACGGACTCAATACAAGAACCATCCTCCCTATTTATTGGAGAAGAAGAAATAGAAAGAGTTACTAATTTCAAACTTCTTGGCGTAACATGTCAAAATGATCTTAAATGGAATGAACATGTACACCAAATTACAAGCAAGGCAAATAAAAGACTATATCATCTTCGACTTTGTAGGAAGTCTCAATTACCTTCAGATGTTGGATTATTAACATATACATCAAAAATAAGACCAGTATTAGAGTATGCATCGGCAGTCTGGGCAGGACTTCCACATTTTTTACAGCAGGAAATTGAACGTGTACAAAGAAGAAGTTTAAAAATTTTACAACTAGATAAAACTACTTGCCCTCTTTAAAAGCAGACGTGAACTAGCAACTATCCAAGAGATCAAAAGGATTATAGAGGAACCTGATCATCCATGCAAATTTTAGTACCTTATCCCAAAGAAAATTCGCACAAGTTGCGTAAAAGCAAAACTTATAGTATTTTATCTCGGACCAAACGTCATAAACAATCTTTTATTGCTAGATCTTGTAAATATATATATAATAAAGTTAACATGTAATTTTTAGTATAGTATGAAAATATAGAAATTCAATGTAAATTCATCGTACTTTTTAATCTGAAGATGAATAATAAAAACCTTTAACCTTTAACCTTTAACCTTAAGTAATTCATACACGTAATAAATAAACGTAAGTAATTCATACACAAATTAATGAATAAAAGATGTTTACTGCATGTGTTTGCACAGGCTTATGCAATCCCAGGATACCTTTGGGAGAACTCAAGAGCAGATCAGTGTAAGCCTGAGACCGAATGTCTAGGGTTGCACATGGTCAAGAATTTTTACCCCAGACACACTTGCAAAGGCCAGTGCAAACACGAAAAACATCTTATTTTTTTAAAAAAATAACAATAATGCGAAACAAAAAACCGTTATAATATTCTTTTAACGTGTAGTCATGATTAATTTGCAAATTCTCTTTGATTGATTGATTGATTTGATTGGTTGAGCTTAGATCGTTTTCGCAAACTCATGCAAACACAGGTCTAAACCCATCAGCGCACGTGCTTCGTTGTGTTTATTTTATAATATGAAATGATGTCAAGTTAACGATACTTTAACGTTACGTAACAGTATATTTTCTGAATTACCAAAACTTTCTGAGAGATACTGGTTATGATTCTTCACTGATATATGTCATGAGAAAGATAAACACTTTATTTTAGCTGTAGTCTGTACTAAGAAAAAGTTCAAAAAAATGAAATGTTTTCACTAATAATTTATAATTTGCATTCATTATACAATTATAAGCATTGCAATCCAAGAAATGGTACTCTATGTTGTGCTTGATGTTTGATAAATCATAAATGATTGGAAACATAATAATTCATGAATGCAATATCTGACGTCATTTTCTAAAATCGTCATCCATTTTGAGTGAGACAAAATGATTCTTAATTTTTATTTCGATATCATATTCCAAACATTTCTGATTCCTACAATGCATCGATTTATTGGCAAATCAATCTACAGGACTAACAAGTCCCAACGGAAAAACTAAATGTCAAGATTTACAATAGATGGATTTTAAGACTTCTTTTAATTACAAAGCTAGTCGAGGTTTGCCTCTCCTTTGGCAACACATCATAAACTGATTTTATTAATTTGATTTTCATGCAATCGTTTTCATCTCTGGTTGGTGGGCAGTACAAGTGGCATGGTAGGTAGCAATTGCCGGCATTGTCTTGCGGAATCCACGCAATAACTTTATGTAACTTCAAAAGAAAATCTTACGGCTTGATTTGTCAATTGATAAAGATAATGTAATTCAGTAAATCATTTGATTTGTCAATAATATTTTATTCTTAGAGAAATTAAACTTCATCATTTTACTTTTTTTATAGATTATGATAATATGTACATTTACTTTATATGATAATATGGTTGATTACAATTTGTTTACACGTAGTTTTGTATTACAGATACATTTCAACAATGGATAAAAATGTCAAACACACAACATTTTCTACATAAGCTTTCAAATTTTCCACGACACTTTTTACGATCTTCGATTGAAATTAGGTTTTAGTGTATTTCTTTGACATGATTCCCCATCACTAGGATCTTTCCTTATAGCCTATAAAATTTCATGAAATTTAACTCTTAGAAAAGCGATTTCCTGCTTTCAGTCTATATCATGGAATATAGGAAAACCCATCCATGATCTGAACGGAAAAAATTTTGCAAATTTTGGCCAGTTTTAAATTTTGTCGTTAAATACTACTTGTGTTTGCCAAGTCTTACCATGATTAAATCAAAACGTTTCATCCATTGGCATAATCATAGTATTTTTCCTTTGTAGCAATAGAAAGATGAAGCACGTCATTTTTTGCAATGAAAAGTAAAAGAACAAAATATAATCTTTCTTCCTGAAGTGTTTATAAAGGAAAACTTAATAAACACTTCAGTAGCAACTCCCACCAAGCTACTCTGGCTGATTTTGCTCGTTTCTCAATAACATCTGGCCATATTGATGTAATGATGAATGCGAAAATGAAGGAAATAATGATACAAGAGAAAGCAGATGAAGAAAAGAACAAAGAAATTATGTTGATTCTTCTTGATGTGGCTCGCACTCAGGCAAGCAGTCGTTGGCATCCAGAGAAGGCGGCAAAGACTAGGACAGAAAATTCATTCAGATTGTAAATCTTTTTTTAATACATTCTCCTGTTCTCAAGCTGTGGCTGGACGATCAGCGCCTAAGGCCATATAGTACAACACATACAAGGTCAGAAGCACAAAATGAGATGCATCATTTGCTGGCTCAATCTGTGAGGGATGAAATTTGTGCTGAATTAAGTCAGCCTGTGTATTTTCTGTGTCTGCAGACACTACACCTAATACTTTGAATCAAGACATGCTTATCGTCGCTGTAAAATATGTCAACCAGATGAGCATCCGATGCGAGAGACGGCTTGAAATGAAAGAGAGCCTTGATAAAACCGATGCTGGAGCGGCTAAAGGTGTCATTAAATCTTTAATAGAAAATGAAATCGATATAGATATGCTTGCATTTCAAACATACGATTTCGCAACATCAATATCTGGATAACTAAATGGTGCTCAAAAAGTGTTGCAAGAAATTTTAAAACGACAAGTGCCTTACATCCCTTGCCAGAGACATCGGTCTAATACATTCAACGAACATTGTTGCAATTATAGCTCAATAAGTAAATCAACGTACAGCGCTCTAGATTACGTATATGTGCTCTTTAGCAAAAGCACAAAAAGAAATAAAATTGGAGAAGAAAGTTGCAAAGATGTTGAAAACAATTTAAAGTTTCGAAACTTGTCAAAGACAAGATGGGTTTACAATTCTGAGTCCATTGATGCTGTCTGGAGAAGTTATGAGGTAATACCAAATGCTATTGTGAAAGTTATTAATGCTCGAGAAGTAGAATCAAAAGTAAAATCTAAAGGCGATGGAATAAAAAGAAATTTCTTAGTTTTGACTTTCTTTTTGCTCTTATTTTCATGCAAATCATAATGACAAAACCAATCCCTAATCAAACAACAGCAGGAGGAGGGGTTAAATATAATATATTCACTTAATATGATTGATGCTACAGTAAAAAACCTTAGACAAATTCGAAGTGACGATAACGGATTAGACTCAGAGATAGAGGCAATGGTTGCATTCGTTATCAAAGTAGGAATAGACGTAATGGCAGAATACACATGTCATCATCGATCAAGAAAGTCACCCAAACGAATTGGTGAGCATTCCGAAATAACAACAGAAAACCTTTAAACATTTGTACCAAAAGAAATGTACTTGGTTCTAGACTCCTTATTACCGAGTATACCAATATCATTAAAGTTTGCATCGACCAGATAAAACCTTTTGGAGAGAGCTTACAGCTGCCACTAGAAAGGCCGATGGCTGAATCAGTTCATGAAAAGTGTAGTCTTTTTCCACCGGCGGTATAAGATGTTGAGGCAGAATTACTGCTGTCTGAGTTGGAAGTTTTCATTAATATTGTGTCGTCACAACTTAAATCAGAACCCAAATCCCTTCAAGACGTTGCGTTATTTGCTTTCAATCACAAAAACGTCTTTCCAATGGTGTGCAAGGCGTATCAACTATTGCTGACCGCTCCAGTATCCGTTGCAAAAGATGAAAGGTGTTTCAGGAAGTATATGGTTCTCAAAAACTGCTTGAGATCCACAAAGAAAGATACGCGATTTAATGACTTAATCGTTCTTGCATGTGAAAAAGATCTTACGGACAATGTTGACTTAAATGATATTATAAAAAATTGGGCAACTGCAAGGATGCAAAAAATGACATTAAAGATTTAATAATACGCTAAAGTGCGTTCTGTCACAAGAATACAATATGTATTACAAAAATATATAGCGAAAATGTGTTGAATCATCACAATATTTTATTGTTGAATAAGTACTAATCTATATGATCTGCAAGGCATCTTGTGTCCTTGCAGGGCAATTTTATTCCCCCCCACCCACATTAAAAAGGTGCTAGTTTAACCCTTGTGCATAAGTTCTTAACCGGTTAACTTGCGAACTTTCCTCATTGGTTTCCCATTCAATCATTTCAGTTTATCATCTTTGTATAAAAATTTAAATAATGTACATACAAACCTGAACATTGTACACCAGCATCTTTATAATGTCTACAATTATGCAATCCCCATTCTCTATGTGAACAACTCGAAATATTACTTTCATTTCCTACACATTGAACGTCGTCTAACCATATCCTTCCACTGCCACGTGGAACATTACGTCGTAGTAAAGCCCTGAAATAATAGTCATAACCAAGTTGTCGACACACAACTTTAGCATCGTTTATATCCCAGCCATCATCACAAATTGTTCCCCATTCTCCATTGTAAAATACCTCTACACGACCTTTGCCAATAGAACTTTCTGGTCCCCGAAGTCTAACAGAGTTGATAACTGATAAAAAAAGAAAATAAAGAGATAATGCAAAACATAGCAGTCTCAACTCCGAAATATTCTAAGTTACATGTATACATATAAAGTATCCTAATATGTTAGATGCCATTGCAAAATCTTCTTAGGCGAAATTAATGAATTAAATTAATAACAAAAAATTGATAAAAAAAATTACATGAGTACAATATCAAAACGTTTTAGACAAGTAGACACTATTTCACTTTCATGAGTCTAAATAATTTTTTATTTAGATCAGTCCTCATTTCTTTTTGTAATATAAATATCTTATTAACACTTTAACTTGCGAATGTTCCCATTAATTTTCCATCCAAACATTTGATTTTATTGCCATATGGCAACACTGCCCCATAACTTGTTGAAACAAGAAAAAAATAAAAAGTAAATTGTTCACATAGACTCTTCGCTCACAACGTGGAAAACTATATCGTATTTTTAAAATAACTGTCTTTTTAATTATTCAGAAATACGTTTCTGGTGCTCTCTAGGCATGGCTTTAGCTGAAACTTAACGGTCAGTTAAAAACAAATTAAAAATGAATTCTTAAGATAGACAGCACGATATTAAAAGACATAAAATTACACTCAGTGTTAAATTGGATATGCTTCTGTTAAATATGCAAAAAAAATTTTAATGGGCTATTATGAGCCACAGCCTACAGCTTTAAAAAGCTATAATGAAGGTAAACAATAGTAAAAAACAGATAATTTAAGGATTATTACATTCCTCCACGGAAAATTTGGTCAATGGACTGCCCTTTTTCTCGAGTATTATCGAATCTTTCTATGGGCTATCATAAAATAGTTATGTTTAATTATGTCCTCGTGGAACGAGTTGTGTTTATATGGTTAATTTACGTCCGAAGCTGTGTTTATACTTAAGGAATTTGTCAATATTGTTTCAGTATTTGAAAATCATATTAAATGTTTCGATTAATCATTGAGGATCCTTCAAATAATTCAGTTTATTATCTTTGTAAATAAATGTAAATAATGTAGAAACAAACCTGAACATTGTATACCAGCATCTTTATCATGTGTACAATTATGTGATCCCCATCCACTATGTGAACAACTCAAAATATTATTTTCATTTCCTACACAACGAACTTTGTCTAACCATATTCTTCCACTGCCATGTGGAACATTACCTCCTAGTAAAGCCCTGCCAGCATAGTCATAACCAAGTTGTCGACAAACAACTTTAGCATCGTTTATATCCCAGCCATCATCACAAATTGTTCCCCATTCTCCATTGTAAAATACATCCACACGACCTCTGCCAATAGAACTTTCTGGTCCACGAAGTCTAACAGAGTTGAAAACTGATAAAAAAAGAAAATAAAGAGATATTGCAAAACATAGAAGTCTTCACTCCAAAATATTCTAAGTTACATGTTTATATATAAAATATCCTGTTATGTTGGGTGCCATTGTAAAATATTCTTGTGCGAAATTAATCATTTAAGTTAGTAACAAAAATTGATAAAAAACTTACATAATTACAATATCAAAACGTTTTGGACCATCAGACACACTATTTGACTTTCATGAGTGGAAAAAAAGTTTTATTTAGACCAGTTCTCATTTCTTTATGTAATATAAATAAGTTCTTAACCCGTTAACTAGCGAACTTTCCCCATTGGTTTCCCATTCAATCATTTCATTTTATTGCAATATGGCAAAACTACCCAATAACTTGTTGATATAGGCAAAAAATAAAGAGTAAATAGTTCACTCATACTTTTCGTTTAAAACGCGGGAATCTTTATCGCATTTTTAAAATAACTGTCGTTTTAATTATTGAGAAATATGTTTCTGGTGCTCTCTAGGTATGGCTTTAGCTAAATCTTAACGGTCAGTTAAAAACGAATTTAAAAATGAATTCTTAAGATAGACAGCACGCCATTACAAGACATAAAATTACACTGCAGTGTAAATTTGGAAATGCTCCTTATTAATGTGCAAAAAAATTTTAATGGAGCATCATAAGCTACAGCATACAGCTTTAAATAGCTATAATGAATGTAAAGAATCGTAACAAAACTGATAATTTAAGGATTATCATATTCCTCCAAGGAAAAGTTGGCCAATGGACTGCCCATTTTCTCTGGTATTGTCGAATCTTTCTCTGGGCAATCGTAAAATTGGTTATGTTTAATTATGTACTCGTGGAACGAGTTGTGTTTATTTGGTTAATTTACGTCCAAAGCTGTGTTTATACTTAAGGCATTTGTCAATATCTATTTCAGTATTATAAAATCATATTAAAAGTTTCAATTAATCATTGAAGATCCTTAAATAATTCAGTTTATCATCTTTGTATAAAAATTTAAATAATGTACATACAAACCTGAACATTGTACACCAGCATCTTTATAATGTCTACAATTATGCAATCCCCATTCTCTATGTGAACAACTCGAAATATTACTTTCATTTCCTACACATTGAACGTCGTCTAACCATATCCTTCCACTGCCACGTGGAACATTACGTCGTAGTAAAGCCCTGAAATAATAGTCATAACCAAGTTGTCGACACACAACTTTAGCATCGTTTATATCCCAGCCATCATCACAAATTGTTCCCCATTCTCCATTGTAAAATACCTCTACACGACCTTTGCCAATAGAACTTTCTGGTCCCCGAAGTCTAACAGAGTTGATAACTGATAAAAAAAGAAAATAAAGAGATAATGCAAAACATAGAAGTCTCAACTCCGAAATATTCTAAGTTACATGTATACATATAAAGTATCCTAATATGTTAGATGCCATTGTAAAATCTTCTTAGGCGAAATTAATGAATTAAATTAGTAACAAAAATTGATAAAAAAACTTACATGAGTACAATATCAAAACGTTTTAGACAAGTAGACACTATTTGACTTTCATGAGTCTAAATAATTTTTATTTAGATCAGTCCTCATTTCTTTTGTAATATAAATATCTTATTAACACTTTAACTTGCGAATGTTCCCATTAATTTTCCATTCAAACATTTGATTTTATTGCCATATGGCAACACTGCCCCATAACTTGTTGAAACAAGAAAAAATAAAAGTAAATTGTTCACATAGACTCTTCGCTCACAACGTGGAAAACTATATCGTATTTTTAAAATAACTGTCTTTTAATTATTCAGAAATACGTTTCTGGTGCTCTCTAGGCATGGCTTTAGCTGAAACTTAACGGTCAGTTAAAACAAATTAAAATGAATTCTTAAGATAGACAGCACGATATAAAAGACATAAAATTACACTCAGTGTTAAATTGGAGATGCTTCTGTTAAATATGCAAAAAATTTTAATGGGCTATTATAAGCTACAGCCTACAGCTTTAAAAGCTATAATGAATGTAAACAATCGTAAAAACAGATAATTTAAGGATTATTACATTCCTCCACGGAAAATTTGGTCAATGGACTGCCCTTTTCTCGAGTATTATCGAATCTTTCTATGGGCAATCATAAAATAGTTATGTTTAATTATGTCCTCGTGGAACGAGTTGTGTTTATTTGGTTAATTTACGTCCAAAGCTGTGTTTATACTTAAGGCATTTGTCAATATCTATTTCAGTATTATAAAATCATATTAAAAGTTTCAATTAATCATTGAAGATCCTCTCAAATAATTCAGTTTATCATCTTTGTATAAAAATTTAAATAATGTACATACAAACCTGAACATTGTACACCAGCATCTTTATAATGTCTACAATTATGCAATCCCCATTCTCTATGTGAACAACTCGAAATATTACTTTCATTTCCTACACATTGAACGTCGTCTAACCATATCCTTCCACTGCCATGGAACATTACGTCGTAGTAAAGCCCTGAAATAATAGTCATAACCAAGTTGTCGACAAACAACTTTAGCATCGTTTATATCCCAGCCATCATCACAAATTGTTCCCCATTCTCCATTGTAAAATACCTCTACACGACCTTTGCCAATAGAACTTTCTGGTCCCCGAAGTCTAACAGAGTTGATAACTGATAAAAAAAGAAAATAAAGAGATAATGCAAAACATAGAAGTCTCAACTCCGAAATATTCTAAGTTACATGTATACATATAAAGTATCCTAATATGTTAGATGCCATTGTAAAATCTTCTTAGGCGAAATTAATGAATTAAATTAGTAACAAAAATTGATAAAAAATTACATGAGTACAATATCAAAACGTTTTAGACAAGTAGACACTATTTGACTTTCATGAGTCTAAATAATTTTTATTTAGATCAGTCCTCATTTCTTTTGTAATATAAATATCTTATTAACACTTTAACTTGCGAATTTCCCATTGGTTTTCCATTCAATCATTTGATTTTATTGCCATATGGCAACACTGCCCCATAACTTGTTGATACAAAAAAAAAAAGTAAATTGTTCACATAGACTCTTCGTTTACAACGTGGAAAACTTTATCGTATTTTAAAATAACTGTCTTTTAATTATTCAGAAATACGTTTCTGGTGCTCTCTAGGCATGGCTTTAGCTTAAACTTAACGGTCAGTTAAAAACAAATTAAAAATGAATTCTTAAGATAGACAGCACGATACTAAAAGACATAAAATTACACTCAGTGTTAAATTGGATTTGCTTCTGTTAAATATGCAAAAAATTTTAATGGGCATTATAAGCTACAGCCTACAGCTTTAAAAGCTATAATGAATGTAAACAATCGTAAAAAACAGATAATTTAAGGATTATTACATTCCTCCACGGAAAATTTGGTCAATGGACTGCCCTTTTCTCTGGTATTATCGAATCTTTCTATGGGCAATCATAAAATAGTTATGTTTAATTATGTCCTCGTGGAACGAGTTGTGTTTATATGGTTAATTTACGTCCGAAGCTGTGTTTATACTTAAGGCATTTGTCAATATTGTTTCAGTATTATAAAATCATATTAAATGTTTCAATTAATCATTGAGGATCCTTCAAATAATTCAGTTTATTATCTTTGTAAATAAATGTAAATAATGTACATACAAACCTGAACATTGTACACCAGCATCTCTATAATATGTACAATAATGCAATCCCCATCCTCTATGTGAACAACTCGAAATATTATTTTCATTTCCTACACAACGAACGTCGTCTAACCATATTCTTCCACTGCCATAAGGAACATTACCTCCTAGTAAAGCCCTGAAATAATAATAGTCATAACCAAGTTGTCGACACACAACTTTAGCATCGTTTATATCCCAGCCATGATCACAAATTGTTCCCCATTCTCCATTGTAAAATACTTCTACCCGACCTTTGCCAATAGAACTTTCTGGTCCCCGAAGTCTAACAGAGTTGATAACTGATAAAAAAACAAAATCAAGAGATAATACAAAATATAGAAGTCGCCACTCCGAAATATTCTAAGTTACCTGTATACATATAAAGTATCCTAATGTGTTAGATGCCATTGTAAAATCTTCTTAGGCGAAATTAATGAATTAAATTAGTAATAAAAAATTGATAAAAAAACTTACATGACTACAATATCAAATCCTTTTAGACAAGTAGACACTATTTGACTTTCATGAGTCTAAATAATTTTTATTTAGATCAGTCCTCATTTCTTTTTGTAATATAAATATCTTATTAACACTTTAACTTGCGAATGTTCCCATTAATTTTCCATTCAAACATTTGATTTTATTGCCATATGGCAACACTGCCCCATAACTTGTTGAAACAAGAAAAAATAAAAAGTAAATTGTTCACATAGACTCTTCGCTCAACGTGGAAAACTATATCGTATTTTTAAAATAACTGTCTTTTAATTATTCAGAAATACGTTTCTGGTGCTCTCTAGGCATGGCTTTAGCTGAAACTTAACGGTCAGTTAAAACAAATTAAAATGAATTCTTAAGATAGACAGCACGATATTAAAAGACATAAAATTACACTCAGTGTTAAATTGGAGATGCTTCTGTTAAATATGCAAAAAATTTTAATGGGCTATTATAAGCTACAGCCTACAGCTTTAAAAGCTATAATGAATGTAAACAATCGTAAAAACAGATAATTTAAGGATTATTACATTCCTCCACGGAAAATTTGGTCAATGGACTGCCCTTTTTCTCGAGTATTATCGAATCTTTCTATGGGCTATCATAAAATAGTTATGTTTAATTATGTCCTCGTGGAACGAGTTGTGTTTATTTGGTTAATTTACGTCCAAAGCTGTGTTTTTACTTAAGGCATTTGTCAATATTTGTTTCAGTATTATAAAATCATATTAAAAGTTTCAATTAATCATTGAAGATCCCTCAAATAATTCAGTTATCATCTTTGTATAAAAATTTAAATAATGTACATACAAACCTGAACATTGTACACCAGCATCTTTATAATGTGTACAATTATGCAATCCCCATTCTCTATGTGAACAACTCGAAATATTACTTTCATTTCCTACACATTGAACGTCGTCTAACCATATCCTTCCACTGCCACGTGGAAAATTACGTCGTAGTAAAGCCCTGAAATAATAGTCATAACCAAGTTGTCGACACACAACTTTAGCATCGTTTATATCCCAGCCATCATCACAAATTGTTCCCCATTCTCCATTGTAAAATACCTCTACACGACCTCTGCCAATAGAACTTTCTGGTCCCCGAAGTCTAACAGAGTTGATAACTGATAATAAAAGAAAATAAAGAGATATTGCAAAACATAGAAGTCTTCACTCCAAAATATTCTAAGTTACATGTTTATATATAAAATATCCTGTTATGTTGGGTGCCATTGTAAAATATTCTTGTGCGAAATTGATCATTTAAATTAGTAACAAAAATTTGATAAAAAAAACTTACATAAGTACAATATCAAAACGTTTTGGACCATCAGACACACTATTTGACTTTCATGAGTGGAAAAAAATTTTTATTTAGACCAGTCCTCATTTCTTTATGTAATATAAATAAGTTCTTAACCGGTTAAATTGCGAACTTTCCCCATTGGTTTCCCATTCAATCATTTCATTTTATTGCAATATGGCAAAACTTTCCCATAACTTGTTAATACAGGCAAAAAATACAAAGTAAATAGTTCACTCATACTCTTCGTTTAAAACGCGGGAATCTTTATTGCATTTTTAAAATAACTGTGTTTTTAATTATTGAGAAATATGTTTCTGATGCTCTCTAGGTATGGCTTTAGCTAAATCTTAACGGTCAGTTAAAAACGAATTTAAAAATGAATTCTTAAGATAGACAGCACGCCATTACAAGACATAAAATTACACTGCAGTGTAAATTTGGAAATGCTCCTTATTAATGTGCAAAAAAATTTTAATGGAGCATCATAAGCTACAGCATACAGCTTTAAATAGCTATAATGAATGTAAACAATCGTAACAAAACTGATAATTTGAGGATTATCATATTCCTCCAAGGAAAAGTTGGCCAATGGACTGCCCATTTTCTCTGGTATTGTCGAATCTTTCTCTGGGCAATCGTAAAATTGGTTATGTTTAATTATGTACTCGTGGAACGAGTTGTGTTTATTTGGTTAATTTACGTCCAAAGCTGTGTTTGTCAATATCTATTTCAGTATTATAAAATCATATTAAAAGTTTCAATTAATCATTGAAGATCCCTCAAATAATTCAGTTTATCATCTTTGTATAAAAATTTAAATAATGTACATACAAACCTGAACATTGTACACCAGCATCTTTATAATGTCTACAATTATGCAATCCCCATTCTCTATGTGAACAACTCGAAATATTACTTTCATTTCCTACACATTGAACGTCGTCTAACCATATCCTTCCACTGCCACGTGGAACATTACGTCGTAGTAAAGCCCTGAAATAATAGTCATAACCAAGTTGTCGACACACAACTTTAGCATCGTTTATATCCCAGCCATCATCACAAATTGTTCCCCATTCTCCATTGTAAAATACCTCTACACGACCTTTGCCAATAGAACTTTCTGGTCCCCGAAGTCTAACAGAGTTGATAACTGATAAAAAAAGAAAATAAAGAGATATTGCAAAACATAGAAGTCTTCACTCCAAAATATTATAAGTTACATGTTTATATATAAAATATCCTGTTATGTTGGGTGCCATTGTAAAATATTCTTGTGCGAAATTAATCATTTAAGTTAGTAACAAAAATTTGATTAAAAAACTTACATAACTACAATATCAAAACGTTTTAGACCATCAGACACACTATTTGACTTTCATGAGTCGAAAAAAGTTTTTATTTAAACCAGTTCTCATGTCTTTATGTAATATGAATAAGTTCTTAACCAGTTAACTAGCGAACTTTCCCCATTGGTTTCCCATTCAATCATTTCATTTTATAACAATATGGCAAAACTACCCAATAACTTGTTGATATAGGCAAAAAACAAAGAGTAAATAGTTCACTCATACTCTTCGTTTAAAACGCGGGAATCTTTATTGCATTTTTAAAATAACTGTGTTTTTAATTATTGAGAAATATGTTTCTGATGCTCTCTAGGTATGGCTTTAGCTAAATCTTAACGGTCAGTTAAAAACGAATTTAAAAATGAATTCTTAAGATAGACAGCACGCCATTACAAGACATAAAATTACACTGCAGTGTAAATTTGGAGATGCTCCTTATTAATGTGCAAAAAAATTTTAATGGAGCATCATAAGCTACAGCATACAGCTTTAAATAGCTATAATGAATGTAAAGAATCGTAACAAAACTGATAATTTAAGGATTATCATATTCCTCCAAGGAAAAGTTGGCCAATGGACTGCCCATTTTCTCTGGTATTGTCGAATCTTTCTCTGGGCAATCGTAAAATTGGTTATGTTTAATTATGTACTCGTGGAACGAGTTGTGTTTATTTGGTTAATTTACGTCCAAAGCTGTGTTTATACTTAAGGCATTTGTCAATATCTATTTCAGTATTATAAAATCATATTAAAAGTTTCAATTAATCATTGAAGATCCCTCAAATAATTCAGTTTATCATCTTTGTATAAAAATTTAAATAATGTACATACAAACCTGAACATTGTACACCAGCATCTTTATAATGTCTACAATTATGCAATCCCCATTCTCTATGTGAACAACTCGAAATATTACTTTCATTTCCTACACATTGAACGTCGTCTAACCATATCCTTCCACTGCCACGTGGAACATTACGTCGTAGTAAAGCCCTGAAATAATAGTCATAACCAAGTTGTCGACACACAACTTTAGCATCGTTTATATCCCAGCCATCATCACAAATTGTTCCCCATTCTCCATTGTAAAATACTTCTACACGACCTTTGCCAATAGAACTTTCTGGTCCCCGAAGTCTAACAGAGTTGATAACTGATAAAAAAGAAAATCAAGAGATAATGCAAAACATAGAATTCTCAACTCCGAAATATTCTAAGTTACATGTATACATATAAAGTATCCTAATATGTTAGATGCCAATGCAAAATCTTCTTAGGCGAAATTAATGAATTAAATTAGTAACAAAAAATTGATAAAAAAACTTACATGAGTACAATACCAAAACGTTTTAGACAAGTATGACACTATTTGACTTTCATGAGTCTAAATAATTTTTTATTTAGATCAGTCCTCATTTCTTTTGTAATATAAATATCTTATTAACACTTTAACTTGCGAATGTTCCCATTAATTTTCCATTCAAACATTTGATTTTATTGCCATATGGCAACACTGCCCCATAACTTGTTGAAACAAGAAAAAATAAAAGTAAATTGTTCACATAGACTCTTCGCTTACAACGTGGAAAACTATATCGTATTTTAAAATAACTGTCTTTTAATTATTCAGAAATACGTTTCTGGTGCTCTCTAGGCATGGCTTTAGCTGAAACTTAACGGTCAGTTAAAACAAATTAAAATGAATTCTTAAGATAGACAGCACGATACTAAAAGACATAAAATTACACTCAGTGTTAAATTGGATTTGCTTCTGTTAAATATGCAAAAAAAATTTTAATGGGCTATTATAAGCCACAGCCTACAGCTTTAAAATCTATAATAAAGGTAAACAATCGTAAAAAAACAGATAATTTAAGGATTATTACATTCCTCCACGGAAAATTTGGTCAATGGACTGCCCTTTTTCTCGAGTATTATCGAATCTTTCTATGGGCTATCATAAAATAGTTATGTTTAATTATGTCCTCGTGGAACGAGTTGTGTTTATATGGTTAATTTACGTCCGAAGCTGTGTTTATACTTAAGGAATTTGTCAATATTGTTTCAGTATTTGAAAATCATATTAAATGTTTCGATTAATCATTGAGGATCCTTCAAATAATTCAGTTTATTATCTTTGTAAATAAATGTAAATAATGTAGAAACAAACCTGAACATTGTATACCAGCATCTTTATCATGTGTACAATTATGTGATCCCCATCCACTATGTGCACAACTCGAAATATTATTTTCATTTCCTACACAACGAACTTCGTCTAACCATATTCTTCCACTGCCATGTGGAACATTACCTCCTAGTAAAGCCCTGCCAGCATAGTCATAACCAAGTTGTCGACAAACAACTTTAGCATCGTTTATATCCCAGCCATCATCACAAATTGTTCCCCATTCTCCATTGTAAAATACATCCACACGACCTCTGCCAATAGAATTTTCTGGTCCCCGAAGTCTAACAGAGTTGATAACTGATAAAAAAGAAAATAAAGAGATATTGCAAAACATAGAAGTCTTCACTCCAAAATATTCTAAGTTACATGTTTATATATAAAATATCCTGTTATGTTGGGTGCCATTGTAAAATATTCTTGTGCGAAATTAATCATTTAAATTAGTAACAAAAATTTGATAAAAAAACTTATATAAGTACAATATCAAAACGTTTTGGACCATCAGACAAACTATTTGACTTTCATGAGTCGAAAAAAATTTTTATTTTGACCAGTCCTCATTTCTTTATGTAATATAAATAAGTTCTTAACCCGTTAACCTTCGAACTTTCCCATTGGTTTCCCATTCAATCATTTCATTTTATTGCAAAATGGCAAAACTACCCCATAACTTGTTAATACAGGCAAAAAATAGAGAGTAAATAGTTCACTCATACTCTTCGTTTAAAACGTGGGAATCTTTATCGCATTTTTAAAATAACTGTCTTTTTAATTATTGAGAAATATGTTTCTGGTGCTCTCTAGGTATGGCTTTAGCTAAATCTTAACGGTCAGTTAAAACGAATTTAAAATGAATTCTTAAGATAGACAGCACGCCATTACAAGACATAAAATTACACTGCAGTGTAAATTTGGAGATGCTCCTTATTAATGTGCAAAAAAATTTTAATGGAGCATCATAAGCTACAGCATACAGCTTTAAATAGCTATAATGAATGTAAACAATCGTAACAAAACTGATAATTTAAGGATTATCATATTCCTCCAAGGAAAAGTTGGCCAATGGACTGCCCATTTTCTCTGGTATTGTCGAATCTTTGTCTGGGCAATCATAAAATTGGTTATGTTTAATTATGTACTCGTGGAACGAGTTGTGTTTATTTGGTGAATTTACGTCCAAAGCTGTGTTTGTCAATATCTATTTCAGTATTATAAAATCATATTAAACAATTAATCATTGAAGATCCCTCAAATAATTCAGTTTATCATCTTTGTATAAAAATTTAAATAATGTACATACAAACCTGAACATTGTACACCAGCATCTTTATAATGTCTACAATTATGCAATCCCCATTCTCTATGTGAACAACTCGAAATATTACTTTCATTTCCTACACATTGAACGTCGTCTAACCATATCCTTCCACTGCCACGTGGAACATTACGTCGTAGTAAAGCCCTGAAATAATAGTCATAACCAAGTTGTCGACACACAACTTTAGCATCGTTTATATCCCAGCCATCATCACAAATTGTTCCCCATTCTCCATTGTAAAATACCTCTACACGACCTTTGCCAATAGAACTTTCTGGTCCCCGAAGTCTAACAGAGTTGATAACTGATAAAAAAAGAAAATAAAGAGATATTGCAAAAATTAGAAGTCTTCACTCCAAAATATTATAAGTTACATGTTTATATATAAAATATCCTGTTATGGGTGCCATTGTAAAATATTCTTGTGCGAAATTAATCATTTAAATTAGTAACAAAATTTGATAAAAAACTTACATAAGTACAATATCAAAACGTTTTGGACCATCAGACACACTATTTGACTTTCATGAGTCAAAAAAAATTTTTTATTTAGACCAGTCCTCATTTCTTTATGTAATATAAATAAGTTCTTAACCCGTTAACTTGCGAACTTTCCCCATTGGTTTCCCATTCAATAATTTCATTTTATTGCAATATGGCAAAACTACCCCATAACTTGTTGATACAGGCAAAAAATAAAGAGTAAATAGTTCACTCATACTCTTCGTTTAAAACGCAGGAATCTTTATCGCATTTTTAAAACAACTGTCTTTTTAATTATTGAGAAATATGTTTCTGGTGCTCTCTAGGTATGGCTTTAGCTAAATCTTAACGATCAGTTAAAAACGATATTAAAAATTAATTCTTAAGATAGACAGAACGCCATTACAAGACATAAAATTACACTGCAGTGTAAATTTGGAGATGCTCCTTATTAATGTGCAAAAATTTTAATGGAGCATCATAAGCTACAGCATACAGCTTTAAATAGCTATAATGAATGTAAACAATCGTAACAAAACTGATAATTTAAGGATTATCATATTCCTCCAAGGAAAAGTTGGCCAATGGTCTGCCCATTTTCTCTGGTATTGTCGAATCTTTCTCTGGGCAATCATAAAATTGGTTATGTTTAATTATGTACTCATGGAACGAGTTGTGTTTATTTGGTTAATTTACGTCCGAAGCTGTGTTTATACTTAAGGCATTTGTCAATATCTATTTCAGTATTATAAAATCATATTAAATGTTTCAATTAATCATTGAAGATGCCTCGAATAATTCAGTTTATCATCTTGGTATAAAAATGTAAATAATGTACATACAAACCTGAACATTGTACACCAGCATCTTGAAAATGTCCACAATTATGCAATCCCCATTCTCTATGTGAACAACTCGAAATATAATTTTCATTTCCTACACATTGAACGTCGTCTAACCATATTCTTCCACTGCCATAAGGAACATAACCTCCTTGCAAAGACATGTAAGCAAAGTCATAACCAAGTTGTCGACACACAACTTTAGCATCGTTTATATCCCAGCCATCATCACAAATTGTTCCCCATTCTCCATTGTAAAATACCTCTACACGACCTTTGCCAATAGAACGTTCTGGTCCCCGAAGTCTAACAGAGTTGATAACTGATAAAAAAAGAAAATCAAGAGATAATGCAAAACATAGCAGTCTCAACTCCGAAATATTCTAAGTTACATGTATACATATAAAGTATCCTAATATGTTAGATGCCATTGTAAAATCTTCTAAGGCGAAATTAATGAATTAAATTAGTAACAAAAAATTGATAAAAAATATTACATGAGTACAATATCAAAACGTTTTAGACAAGTAGACACTATTTGACTTTCATGAGTCTAAATAATTTTTATTTAGATCAGTCCTCATTTCTTTTGTAATATAAATATCTTATTAACACTTTAACTTGCGAATGTTCCCATTAGTTTTCCATCAAACATTTGATTTTATTGCCATATGGCAACACTGCCCCATAACTTGTTGAAACAAGCAAAAAATAAAAGTAAATTGTTCACATAGACTCTTCGCTTACAACGTGGAAAACTATATCGTATTTTAAAATAACTGTCTTTTACTTATTCAGAAATACGTTTTTGGTGCTCTCTAGGTATGGCTTTAGCTAAATCTTAACGGTCACTTAAAAACGAATTTAAAAATGAATTCTTAAGATAGACAGCACGAAATTAAAAGACATAAAGTTACACTGCAGTGTTAATTTGGAGATGCTCCTTTTTCATATGCAAAAAAATTCTTATGGAGCTACATAAGCTAAAGCCTGCAGCTTTAAAAAGCCATAGTTAATGTAAAAATCGTAACAAAACAAATAATATAAGGATTATCACATTCCTCCACGGAAAATTTGGTTAATAGGCGGTCCTTTTCTCTGGTATTACTTAATCTTTTTATGGGCATAGATATAATAGGTTATGTTCAATTATGTACTTGTGGAACAAGTTGTGTTTGTTTAGTTATAAATCCATACCCTGGCACGAGTTACATTCTCCTGAGTATCCTTTCATACACGTGCAGTTTAATGATCCATTAATTTTACGATAGTAAGTGTTGGGTCCACATAAAGGAAGTCGAAAAGTGTTTGTCGCTATATAGAATAATAAAATTAAAAATAAAATCAACTATGGATTTCAAAAGAAAACATGTTTTTTCTCAAAGAAAACAATTTGTTATTCAGTATCCACTATGACGTACCCAGCTAGGAAATTTGTGATGTATTGTCGATATCTTTGGTGTTCACGAATATCGTAAAAACAAAACAATTAAATAAATGTTGAAAATTTACAGAGTATGAACAGATTTGCTGGCTGTTCGGGATACTATAAAGGATGTATCTAAAGAAGTTATATAATTAAGAAATGTTCAGGAAATTATCAATTCATCAATATTTCTAACAAAATGTGCCAAAGCTCATGTATTTTGGCATTGCCTTGTCTTGATTATTTAAAAGTAAAATTGAATTAAGATTTAATCTCGAAATCATGAGCGTACTTCGTAATTGCCTCACTTTGAACTGCATGCAGAAAGAAAATGAAAAGTTTCAAATCTAGTTTAATCCAAAGATTTAAGAGTTTGAACTCTGTTTTGCAATGTACTAAATATTTAGAACATTTGATAAATATTAAGCTCACTTCACAACATGCTCAAATTGGACGTTTTTGTCTTTCATTCTATTTTCATGAATTTTTTTCTTATTTAAAACTGGTTACAAGCCAGAGTGATTGTTGAAATGATGTAAGAAACAATAAGGATATAAATTTAACACCCAACAAATTTGGCAAGAATAGACAAACGGCAAAAACATCCAGATTAGACACTTTGCACTTTAAACTTAATGTTTATCAAATTTTCTATAATTTTGGAAGGAAGAACAACCGTTTAATAATGCATTGTAACTTTAAACTTTTTAACGTCTTTCAATTTTAAGTACATTAGCGTGAGAGTTTTTGCAAGTCTTAGCTTGTTATGTCAAATAAGTAAATATTTAACTACCGTTTGAGTCAGGAGTGATACTGTGTATAGCTACAGCCAAATCAAGATAACCGTTGTTTACAGGAAGAACATATTTACGCCTCATACGTTGATCTGTTGTGTTATGGACACTAACGACACTTCGTCCGACACTAGTTATGATATAAATGAAATCTTTAAATACTGCCATGGGACCTCCTGAAGTTCCAAAATCAATTACATTATGGGAGTAGTAATCACAAGAAAAAAACATTTCCGTTTGAAACTCGCCAATAAATCTTCTCTTTAGCCATGTCAAGCGTTAGATCATGTGCTATTGATTGAAGTGAAACTGAGAAGATATGATGTTTATTTGCATTCATGCTCCATAACCATAAGAAAAGTTCTGTACTTTCTGCCAAGAATAGATACCTTAATAAAAATATTTGTTTTGTACATTGTTTTCTCTATACGTAATGAAATACATAAACAATAAACAGGCTAATATATGCATAAAAGGAAAGATAGATTTTTTTAATTTAGACAAAGATGTTGTCAAAGTATTCAGAACTACTTTCATATATAGACGGTTTAATGGAACATATTCATGAAATTTGGTAATATAGCAACATAAAGCTATTTTAGCTAACAGGAAAAGATCATCTTTAATATTTGAAGTCCCTCGTTTGAAAACCGAACTAAAATATATGAAGTAATTAAACATTGCATGTGATTCAGAGCATAATAAATGTAATATGTTATTTTTATTCACATAACTTCTATAATGATTGGTATTGTTTGAGATTGTTGTCGGAATGAGTAATGCTGTAGTTTGGAGTGGCTGCTGAATGAATTGTGTTGGTAATTGATAATGCTAAAAATTATCTGATGCGTGGAAGTTTTGTTCGAATTGAAAATTTGGTGTTGGTAAATGATATGCACCATTTAATGTAGATATAAATTTAAGAAAGCTTTGTCATTTCAGGTTTAAGCTTTCTTAATTTTTCAGTTTCATCTCGCATGAAAAGTAGCAGCTCCTTGGATGGATCATCGTCTACAAATGTCTTTAAAAGAGCTATAGCTTCACAAACATTGTCTTTTGTTGATACTTTTTTTTAGTTTGTTTGGACAAACGATTTTTTACAACTATCTTAACCTTCTCTAATCAAATGTCAAATTTCTTCATTGTTTTTCTGAAAAATTAGAAAAAATTGACACTGGAGCTAGCACTATTGGTATCATTTAAAAATGATTATTCTATCGCCATGTCATGTTCATGTTTTTAAGAATCTCTGGATTAGACAAGCTGCAAAAACTGCTTGAACACTATGGCCCTTACTTTATCAAAAATGTTTTATGCATCTGGCAGTTTTAATTATCATCGCAGCATATTTGCATTCTTTATACATTTCTTAAATATATTACTCATTTGAGTAACAGTAAAGTCCATGTCTTCTTGTCGTTCATTTCACCTTGCCCCGAAGTCTATAAAAACTTTCTCGCATATACTACCATTCTTTTGGTTTTTGTGTTCGCAAAAATTATTTTTTCTTGTAATATGATAAAAATTAATGCCCAACATAAAGTTTTAATTAGAGTCATAGAATTAGACCAAAAGTTTTAAAATGGAATTTATACCGACGTTTCGTCCTTAGTCAAGACATATTCAGTCAAATTTATAATTTATAATGCGATGTTAAGACAAGATATTGTATTGATGTAAGACAAGATAGGTGTTAAATTACGACTTAAGAGGCGGTGTCAAATGGAATATTTGATAAAGAAGTTGGGAAGTAAAATATACTTAAGCTAAGAGAGGTTAAGTGCAATGGAACTTTCTTTAACGATGGGTGAAGACTTGTATTTATTGATTAGAAGGCTTACATGAATGGAGAGCTCGTAGGAATCGTTAGAAAGGGAAATTTTTTGAAATTCGTAAATTACTCATAACATATTCAGAAAGTTCTCACTTCACAGGCTGTTCAGCCAATTTATTTTTAATCTCTAACATGATTATCATCTTCAGATTCATCATCAGTTGAGCAACTACAGATCTGACGTTTGCATCAATTACACTAAGAAACACTGCATGAACTAAAGGTAGTGGAACGATTTTCGATTCCGGTGATTTGATCGGATGTGTGATTGGATTTATTAAAGAGTAGTGTGCATACAGTTAATTTGCAGCTCTTGCCTTTTCAACATACTCCGCCATTCAATGCAAGTTAAAAGAAGGCTTGAAACACCATAAACTTGATATACTGATTTTTTTCTAAATTGCCACATTTTTTGAAAATTAAATTCTTTTTTATATTTTTTGATGTAACTACGTGGGAATGTGCGCATATTTTTTTTATCTTCAATAAAAAACGAAAGGTTGAAGTTTTTGACGTTCATTAGCTTCGTGAATTTTTTAAAACTTTATTGCTATTTCGTATTGAGATTGTTGCACATCTCTTACACTGTCTCAAAAAGGGTTATAGTAATTGAAAGGGCAAAGCAAAGCAACAAACAATGCTCCCAATCTGGTGAAATCTTTTGCGTAGGTTATATCTTATTAAGCATATGATTATTATGGAGGCGTCAAGCAAATTGCATTTTCTCACAAAGAAAAGTGCTCTTGGGTGGCCAGCAGAAGCCAGTAATCTTAATAAATGTAGAACACCAAGTTGCACAGTGAAATTGGAATACTTTTTGTTTGTAGGTTGTGGCAAACCAATGTTGTGTGAGTATTTGACTGAAGTTTCATCGGTAAAGTATTTATTTAATACTTTATTGTAGTTTCTATCTATGTTTTATTTCATTTAACGAATTCATCAATTATAAACATTGTTTTCTCCGTTGTTACATTTTGTCAAAGCTCTTTGGTTGCTTAACATAAGTATCGCTGTCGATTTTTGCAATTTCAGGATCTGCATGTTATTTTCTGCTGCGTGTGTGCTGAATAATCACACGAACTGAGCTCATCCTTGCAGTTGGTTTCAAATGCCTCATAGTCACGCAATAAAATATTGCTGGCCAAATCTCGTTGATTTTATTGAAAAGCTGTCTAAATATATGACGTTTGTTTCTTTATACACAAAAAATACTTAATATTCGCACCCTCAGGTAAAAGCGAGTTTTGTTTTCCCTCGGAAATCAATATTTTTTTCTATTCTTGTACTTTCAAATAACAGGCCATGATACGGACTTCAAAAATTCAACTTTTCTATTAAATTAAAATGCAGTCTCTAATAACAAAAACTCTTAGCTTACTTAAGAAAAGCCTCCAATAGATTGACATAGTTTCTTAATTTTACGTTTACAAGTTAATAAAAAGAATTTCAATATCGCCTTACCCCTGTTTTGAGTCAAATGCGATGCTAGAAAATCGCAAGCCTGGTTGAAGCCTCATAACACTTGTAATTTTCTTTTCCAAAAAAATTTGGTAGATAATGTTCGTGGAGTCAATGTAAAAGATACGACGACCAATCCAGTCAACTGTAATATCATGAACAGAAACATTTTCCGCAACAATTTCGTTTCCAGTCAAGTCAAGATTTCCCCGTTTGATGTCTTTGTCATCAGTGTAGTAAAGCACATTCTCAACTACATCAACTTCAATGTCATTATATTTTGATGCATGGTCAAATTTATTCTTACTGGAGCCATTAATAGTGCTGACATGAATATCTCCAGTAATAGAATCAACAGAGTATATTTGATCAAAGCTCAAAATAATGAAATATGGCTTTGGATAAACACCTAAATAAATAATAAAAAATATATAAGTAACAACGATGCAGGTGGAATAGTAAAATGCAAACCTTTATAGACTTTAGTATCATAATATTGGTGAAACCAGAAAGAGTGTTTTTAGAAAGAGTTTTTCACAGTAGAAATTTAGTACTAACTGAAATTAGATTGGCTGCATAACTTCTACCTATTATTGATGCATACTTTTATTTTAGTGCTATGAACAAGAAACTATGAAAATTTGTCAAATCTAAAGATTATACCTTTGTAAAAACACATTTCCGTTTGCATTTGCATCATTTCTTTGTTGTATTGTTTTACTTCCTTGCATGCAGTTGTGTTATCGTCATTGCCATTTTATCAACGCAAGTTTCTATCCATTCTTTCACGTCGTCTTTTAGTGTTTCTAACCTTTTCTTGCAGATTGATATGTCGTCATTACCATTTACTATATGGCCACTAATAGACAGGATTAGGAGAGTCCCAAGAACCACTTTTGTTGAACTTGATATCATCTTTATTTTCTATTTATTAGAAGGTGGATGATTATTAATTTCTTTAAAGCTTTTGTAGTAAAACATTTACTTTATTTATGAAAGGCTTATCATCAATATAATCATATAATCAGTTTGTTCTTAAACTTTTTTAGGGATGTATAAATCAAGTATTGATTTCTATAATCATGTAACATTTTAACTTCCTTATCCAAAGAGTATTTTCACGTTTCCTTTCAGAAAATTGATGATGATTGAATATTGTTGCAATAGATTAGGCAAATTGTTCATTATAAAGACTCATGCTTACAACAATTCATATAAGAAGAGTTCACCAGCGTAGAACGTGTTTTGAATAAATAGATATAAGGTTTCTAGGAAACGAAAGCATAGAAAGATATAGTACATTTTAATGTCCACCATAAGGAAATGACGCAAATTATGAAATTCACGAAGAGCAGTTTACAAAAAATTTAAAATCGGTTGATTTCAAATTTGCTTTTGTTAACTCAGTTTACCAGATGAATGGGAAAAACGTATTGCTAACTAAGCCAGCAAAATTAAACGCAAAATAATCTGTTGCTTAGTGTTTAATAGACTCGTTTGTCTCTGTAACTACATGCCGTCTAGTTACAGAAAGGGAGGCCCTTTAAGCAATACATGATATTCTGCTTTACAACATCTGTTAGTCGTATAAAGAAGTTCGACTCTCCTAATTATATAAGTTCTGAATTAAATGAAATTTATAAGCATTTTGACAGAGCTGCTAAAGTAAAGAAAGTCTAAAAAGCTAAATAGAGGAATGCAACTTTGCAGTATTAAAAAAATTTCTACTTCTTCAATTATTTTGTTTCAATATTCTTGCAATATTGAATGATTGTTGCAGAAGAAGCAAGAAACATAGAACAAACAAGAACAAACAAGAGCCAAGAAATGTATCATTTGTTCTGCATGTACTTCTTGCTCTTTATAATGACTTCGGTATTGATGTTTGATGATGATTTGCGCCATTTTAATTTGTTGATTTATGTACCTCTCTTTCTTTATCATTTCTTTCAATCATAAATTTCAGTTTTAATGTCCAATCAAGTATTCTTTATCACACATGCATTCAAGTTTTAGATTACTATTTCCTCTGGCGTATCAATATAATACTAATTTAATACATTTCCAGACATTTCTAAATATCAATTAGTAGAACTTTATCGTTGGTTGTGATCAATCAATTCTTTTTGTTTTCAACATAATGATAAATATGAAATGATAAAGAGATTTGCAAAACGGTAAATTTTTTTAAAGAATTTTAGACTAGTCAAATTACCAGTTGGCAGCTATGTATATATGATGCATGCTGCGCTACCCTTAATTACAGAAAATGCTTAAAAATACATACAAAATGTTTCATAAAGCTTTAAGTATTTTATAAGATAAAGATCGTGTTAGATTATCTGTTGGATTACGTATAAGCATGACTATGATAAATGAAATGTATGTTCTTAATAAGGAAGTGAAATCCATAAGAGCTATTGTTATAAAGTAAATGGTTTGAACCCGCGTGTATCGTTATATGTTTGTAAATGATGATCGTCCAGGTTAATAAAGTCCTGAGAAGGACTGTTTTTGATGTTGTTGACTGACGTTTCGACAACCTTAGCGGTAGTCATATTCAGAGTCAAATGAGGAGTAAACGTCAGGTTAGCCGTATTTGTTGTCTGGTTCTTACGTCATTGTATTGTGTGTACAGGAAATGTGCAGGAAATGTGTATTGTCATTGTGGATTAGTGTGAAGTGAAATATTTTATTTTTAGTTGTGATGTGTGATTTAGGTGTGACGTTTTTAGTTGTAGTGTGAGGTGTCAATTGTGTATTGTCATTGTGAATTAGTTTGAAGTGTAATGTTTTAGTTGATCGTTTGTTTTATTGTGAATAAGTCGTTTGTAAGGTGCCGGTAATTGCTGTGATCTGTTCAGAGGGGTTTGTTCCAAGTTGGTATACCAACTTTCTAATGTAAGCCGTTGTCTATAGTCAGTACTGTAAGTGATGCATTTTGCCGAGTCCCAGTCAATGTTGTGCTTTGTGATTCGGTGATGTTCGGCAATGTGATTAGTTTTGTCTTGTTTCTTAGTAGCTCGTTTGTGCTCAGTAAGTCTTATGTTTAAGTTCCTGCCAGTTTCCCCGATATAGGAGGCAGTCGGAGCAGTTTATTTTGTAAACTGCACCTTGTCGTTCGTTGGGTTGTTCTTTGTCCTTTATGTTCGTTAGTACTTGTCGTAATGTTGTGATTGGTTTATGTGCGACACGTATGTTGTATGGTCGTAAGATACGCGAGATAGTCTCAGACGTACCTTTGATGTAAGGTATCGTTGCTGTTGTCACTGAGTTGTTCGTTTCGTTGGGTTCGTTGGGTTTGTAAGTGTTGCGTTTGATAAAGTCAGAGTTATAGTTGTTTTGTCAAAACACGTTTGAGATAGTTGTTTTCGTTTCGTAGAGCGTCCGGTGAATCACATATGATTTGTGCACGTCTTGTTAATGTTCTGATTGTGGTGGCTTTGTGTGATGTAGGGTTGTAAGATGATTGGTCTAGTAGTCGGTCAGTATGTGTTGGCTTGCGATAAACTGTTGTTCCTAGTTTTTGATTGTCATGTTTTACCAAACAGTCGAGAAAAGGAAGAGTTCCGTTTTCTTCGACATCTTTGGTAAATTGTATGTGACTGTTCTGTTTAATGATGTGAGTATGGAAGTCATCAATCTCGTCTGCATGTAGTGCTGTGATTGTGTCATCTACGTAGCGAAACCAAAAAGGTAGTGCATGTTTGTAAGTCATGAGTGCCCGTTCCTCTATAGATTGCATTACAATTTCAGCAACTACAACAGAAGTGCGTCCATTTTGTTAAAGTAATCATTCCTGTCCATGACTGTGGTTAACGACAGACAAACGTACGAACAACTCAAACGAGACCCAACACCATCACTAGTACGCAAACTTAACAGCAAGATCTTCTCTATGAGAAAATCTAACATTATATCTGAACGTATTTACTATCGACTCAGATGTTCAGTACCACGACCACCCAGACTATACGGACTACCAAAACTTCACAAACCACAAATACCCATGCGACCAATTGTATCATTCTGTGGTTCGCCTACTTACGAACTTTCAAAGTACTTGACCAACATACTGCAACCACTTACAAACAAATCAAAACACAAGCTACAATCCACTGAAACTTTCATTAAAAAAACCAGACAACTATATACTAGTGTCTTTTGATGTGAAATCCCTGTTCACCAGTATTCCACTTAATCTGGCACTTACTTGTACAAAAACCCTCATTACAAACACCATGGACGTACTGCCATTACCGACAGAAGACATTATGGAGTTACTAGAGCTCTGCCTCACCTCGACTTACTTCCAATACAAAGGAACACACTACAAACAATTACATGGGACAGCAATGGGCTCGCCCGTTTCTGTTGTAGTTGCTGAAATTGTAATGCAATCTATAGAGGAACGGGCACTCATGACTTACAAACATGCACTACCTTTTTGGTTTCGCTACGTAGATGACACAATCACAGCACTACATGCAGACGAGATTGATGACTTCCATACTCACATCAACAAACAGAACAGCCACATACAATTTACCAAAGATGTCGAAGAAAACGGAACTCTTCCTTTTCTCGACTGTTTGGTAAAACATGACAATCAAAACTAGGAACAACAGTTTATCGCAAGCCAACACATACTGACCGACTACTAGACCAATCATCTTACAACCCTACATCACACAAAGCCACCACAATCAGAACATTAACAAGACGTGCACAAATCATATGTGATTCACCGGACGCTCTACGAAACGAAAACAACTATCTCAAACGTGTTTTGACAAAACAACTATAACTCTGACTTTATCAAACGCAACACTTACAAACCCAACGAACCCAACGAAACGAACAACTCAGTGACAACAGCAACGATACCTTACATCAAAGGTACGTCTGAGACTATCTCGCGTATCTTACGACCATACAACATACGTGTCGCACATAAACCAATCACAACATTACGACAAGTACTAACGAACATAAAGGACAAAGAACAACCCAACGAACGACAAGGTGCAGTTTACAAAATAAACTGCTCCGACTGCCACGCCTCCTATATCGGGGAAACTGGCAGGAACTTAAACATAAGACTTACTGAGCACAAACGAGCTACTAAGAAACAAGACAAAACTAATCACATTGCCGAACATCACCGAATCACAAAGCACAACATTGACTGGGACTCGGCAAAATGCATCACTTACTGTACTGACTATAGACAACGGCTTACATTAGAAAGTTGGTATACCAACTTGGAACAAACCCCCCTGAACAGATCACAGCAATTACCGGCACCTTACAAACGACTTATTCACAATACAAACAAACGATCAACTAAAAACATTACACTTCAAACTAATTCACAATGACAATACACAATTGACACCCTCACACTACAACTAAAAACGTCACACCTAAATCACACATCACAACTAAAAATAAAATATTTCACTTCACACTAATCCACAATGACAATACACATTTCCTGTACACACAATACAATGACGTAAGAACCAGACAACAAATACGGCTAACCTGACGTTTACTCCTCATTTGACTCTGAAGATGACTACCGCTAAGGTTGTCGAAACGTCAGTCAACAACATCAAAAACAGTCCTTCTCAGGACTTTATTAACCTGGACGATCATCATTTACAAACATATAGAGCTATTGTTCTTGCGTTATGTTATAAACTCTGAATTTTAAGTTTTCTTTATGTTTTCTTTGCTTACCATTGAAGAGGAAATTTGGCTATCAATGAAATTTCTCCTTCGAATTCTGATAATTTATTTTCTATCCTTCTCTAACAGCAGCTTAGAAAAAATGCAACTGAAACAAAACTTGTCGTGTCTTAAAGTGCTAGTAATATTGGCGTTTTGAATTTTGACATCACGCAAGACAAGTACTTTTATGTGGACGGGGACACAAATTTTCATGATTTTTCATTATATTTTGGGATGAAGAGCCATAATTGCTGAAATTTAGTGTCAGAAAAAATATGCAACAAAAAAAATTGTTTCAGCAAGTGCAAGAAATACCATTTACATTGAAAATAACAGACCAAATTATTTTAATTCCTTATAACAATACCCCGGGAAAAAAAATGTTTATTTTGACGTTATTCAAAATTGGTCAAGTATTTCAAGTGTCTCTACAATCTAAAAGAAAAATATGCACTGCAGATGTTAGTTTCTGTTCATAGATAAGATACAATAAGCCAAAAAAGAGTACTGTCTATAAACAACTTTTGTTCAATTTTTAGAGTTCATTATATTATGTTTTATCCATTTTCTACTTAACCCAACATGAAACTTTCTAAAGTTCATCATTTTCAGACAAGGCTAGTTTCTTAGATGATTATCTTTATAGATGAACTATATACGTGACGGTGACACAAATTTTCATGATTTTTATATATATTTGGGATAAAGAACAATAATTGCAGAAGTTTAGTGTCAGAAAAAATATGCAACAAAAATATTGTTTCGACAATTCCGAGAAATATCATTTACATTGAAAATAACAGACCAAATTACTTTAATTTCAAATAACAACACCCCGTGAAAAATATGTTTATGTTTACGTTATTCAAATTGGTCAACTATTTCAAGTGTCTCTATAAACTAAAAGAAAAATGTGCACTGCAGATGTTAGTTTCCGTTCATAGATAAAATACTACAAAGCCAAATAAGGAGTATTGTCTATAAGCAATTTTGTTCAATTTTATAGTTAATTATAATATGGTTTACCCCCTTTTTACTTAACCTAACAAGTAACTTTCTAAAGTACATCAAATTGAAACAAGGCTGGTTTCTTAGGTAATTATCTTTATACATCCCATTTGGCACGATTTTAATTTCTCATGTTTTTATTATATTTAATTCATTTCAACGTATTCATTCCCTTTCCTCTCTCAAAAATACTGAAAATAAGGACAAAAAAGAGACATTAATGTTGTAAACCCTCCCCCCTTAAACATTTTAAAAGCAAAATTTATGAATTACATTATTCATGATATACATGATATTCTGTTTACAACATCTGTCTGTCGTAGAGAGAAGCTCGACTCCATAATTATATAAGTTCTGAATTGAATGAAATTTCTGAGCATTTTGACAGAACTGTCAAAGTAAAAAAAGTCTCAAGAACTAAATATAAGAATGCAAGTTTGCAGTATTGAAAAATTTATACATCTTCAAATATTTTGTTTCAGGCAGTTAAAAGGCGTTTTCCATCTTCAAAAATGGTCTTGTAATATTGAATAATTGTAGCAGAACAAACAAGTGCCAAGAAATGTATCGTTTGTTCTGCATATATTTCGTGCTCTTTAAAATGGCTTCTGTATTTATGTTTGATGATGATAGTAGTAGAGTACATGGGGGTTCGAGAGCACAAAAAGTGCTCTCATATCCCCCATGTACGATACTACTTTTAACCGTTGGTAAAAACTATCTTTATAACAGCGCAAATTAAGACCATGGTTCAAAAGGCGTCCCTCAGCAAAAGGTCATGTAAAGAAAGCTGCGTAAAAAAATCATTGTTTTCAAAGGGGGGTAAAAAACTCGAATTTTCAATCTATCGTTTAAAAATATGGAATCTATATGTTTTTGAAATATATAGGTGCGTCCGGTGAATCACATATGATTTGTGCACGTCTTGTTAATGTTCTGATTGTGGTGGCTTTGTGTGATGTAGGGTTGTAAGATGATTGGTCTAGTAGTCGGTCAGTATGTGTTGGCTTGCAATAAACTGTTGTTCCTAGTTTTTGATTGTCATGTTTTACCAAACAGTCGAGAAAAGGAAGAGTTCCGTTTTCTTCGACATCTTTGGTAAATTGTATGTGGCTGTTCTGTTTGTTGATGTGAGTATGGAAGTCATCAATCTCGTCTGCATGTAGTGCTGTGATTGTGTCATCTACGTAGCGAAACCAAAAAGGTAGTGCATGTTTGTAAGTCATGAGTGCCCGTTCCTCTATAGATTGCATTACAATTTCAGCAACTACAACAGAAGTGCGTCCATTTTGTTAAAGTAATCATTCCTGTCCATGACTGTGGTTAACGACAGACAAACGTACGAACAACTCAAACGAGACCCAACACCATCACTAGTACGCAAACTTAAAAGCAAGATCTTCTCTATGAGAAAATCTAACATTATATCTGAACGTATTTACTATCGACTCAGATGTTCAGTACCACGACCACCCAGACTATACGGACTACCAAAACTTCACAAACCACAAATACCCATGCGACCAATTGTATCATTCTGTGGTTCGCCTACTTACGAACTTTCAAAGTACTTGACCAACATACTGCAACCACTTACAAACAAATCAAAACACAAGCTACAATCCACTGAAACTTTCATTAAAAAACTGTGCACTATACAAATACCAGACAACTATATACTAGTGTCTTTTGATGTGAAATCCCTGTTCACCAGTATTCCACTTAATCTGGCACTTACTTGTACAAAAACCCTCATTAAAAACACCATGGACGTACTGCCATTACCGACAGAAGACATTATGGAGTTACTAGAGCTCTGCCTCACCTCGACTTACTTCCAATACAAAGGAACACACTACAAAGAATTACATGGGACAGCAATAGGCTCGCCCGTTTCTGTTGTAGTTGCTGAAATTGTAATGCAATCTATAGAGGAACGGGCACTCATGACTTACAAACATGCAATACCTTTTTGGTTTCGCTACGTAGATGACAAAATCACAGCACTACATGCAGACGAGATTGATGACTTCCATACTCACATCAACAAACAGAACAGCCACATACAATTTACCAAAGATGTCGAAGAAAACGGAACTCTTCCTTTTCTCGACTGTTCGGTAAAACATGACAATCAAAAACTAGGAACAACAGTTTATCGCAAGCCAACACATACTGTCCGACTACTAGACCAATCATCTTACAACCCTACATCACACAAAGCCACCACAATCAGAACATTAACAAGACGTGCACAAATCATATGTGATTCACCGGACGCTCTACGAAACGAAAACAACTATCTCAAACGTGTTTTGACAAAACAACTATAACTCTGACTTTATCAAACGCAACACTTACAAACCCAACGAACCCAACGAAACGAACAACTCAGTGACAACAGCAACGATACCTTACATCAAAGGTACGTCTGAGACTATCTCGCGTATCTTACGACCATACAACATACGTGTCGCACATAAACCAATCACAACATTACGACAAGTACTAACGAACATAAAGGACAAAGAACAACCCAACGAACGACAAGGTGCAGTTTACAAAATAAACTGCTCCGACTGCCACGCCTCTATATCGGGGAAACTGGCAGGAACTTAAACATAAGACTTACTGAGCACAAACGAGCTACTAAGAAACAAGACAAAACTAATCACATTGCCGAACATCACCGAATCACAAAGCACAACATTGACTGGGACTCGGCAAAATGCATCACTTACTGTACTGACTATAGACAACGGCTTACATTAGAAAGTTGGTATACCAACTTGGAACAAACCCCCCTGAACAGATCACAGCAATTACCGGCACCTTACAAACGACTTATTCACAATACAAACAAACGATCAACTAAAAACATTACACTTCAAACTAATTCACAATGACAATACACAATTGACACCCTCACACTACAACTAAAAACGTCACACCTAAATCACACATCACAACTAAAAATAAAATATTTCACTTCACACTAATCCACAATGACAATACACATTTCCTGCACATTTCCTGTACACACAATACAATGACGTAAGAACCAGACAACAAATACGGCTAACCTGACGTTTACTCCTCATTTGACTCTGAAGATGACTACCGTTAAGGTTGTCGAAACGTCAGTCAACAACATCAAAAACAGTCCTTCTCAGGACTTTATTAACCTGGACGATCATCATTTACAAACATATAGAGCTATTGTTCTTGCGTTATGTTATAAACTCTGAATTTTAAGTTTTCTTTATGTTTTCTTTGCTTACCATTGAAGAGGAAATTTGGCTATCAATGAAATTTCTCCTTCGAATTCTGATAAGTTATTTTCTATCCTTCTCCAACAGCAGCTTAGAAAAAATGTAACTGAAACAAAACTTGTCGTGTCTTAAAGTGCTAGTAATATTGGCTTTTTGAATTTTGACATCACGCAAGACAAGTACTTTTATGTGGACGGGGACACAAATTTTCATGATTTTTCATTATATTTTGGGATGAAGAGCCATAATTGCTGAAATATAGTGTCAGAAAAAATATGCAACAAAAAAAATTGTTTCAACAAGTCCAAGAAATACCATTTACATTGAAAATAACAGACCAAATTATTTTAATTGCTTATAACAATACCCGGAAAAAATGTTTATTTTGACGTTATTCAAAATTGGTAAACTATTTCAAGTGTCTCTACAATCTAAAAGAAAAATATGCACTGCAGATGTTAGTTTCTGTTCATAGATAAGATACAATAAGCCAAAAAAGAGTACTGTCTATAAACAACTTTTGTTCAATTTTTAGAGTTCATTATATCATGTTTTATCCATTTTCTACTTAACCCAACATGAAACTTTCTAAAGTACATCATTTTCAGACATGGCTAGTTTCTTAGATGATTATCTTTATAGATGAACTATATACGTGACGGTGACACAAATTTTCATGATTTTTATATATATTTGGGATAAAGAACAATAATTGCAGAAATTTAGTGTCAGAAAAAATATGCAACAAAAATATTGTTTCGACAATTCCGAGAAATATCATTTACATTGAAAATAACAGACCAAATTACTTTAATTTCAAATAACAACACCCCGTGAAAAATATGTTTATGTTTACGTTATTCAAATTGGTCAACTATTTCAAGTGTCTCTATAAACTAAAAGAAAAATGTGCACTGCAGATGTTAGTTTCCGTTCATAGATAAAATACTACAAAGCCAAATAAGGAGTATTGTCTATAAGCAATTTTTGTTCAATTTTTATAGTTAATTATAATATGGTTTACCCCCTTTTTACTTAACCTAACAAGTAACTTTCTAAAGTACATCAAATTGAAACAAGGCTGGTTTCTTAGGTAATTATCTTTATACATCCCATTTGGCACGATTTTAATTTCTCATGTTTTTATTATATTTAATTCATTTCAACGTATTCATTCCCTTTCCTCTCTCAAAATACTGAAAATAAGGACAAAAAGACACATTAATGTTGTAAACCCTCCCCCCTTAAACATTTTAAAAGCAAAATTTATGAATTACATTATTCATGATATACATGATATTCTGTTTACAACATCTGTCTGTCGTAGAGAGAAGCTCGACTCCATAATTATATAAGTTCTGAATTGAATGAAATTTCTGAGCATTTTGACAGAACTGTCAAAGTAAAAAAAGTCTCAAGAACTAAATATAAGAATGCAAGTTTGCAGTATTGAAAAATTCTTACATCTTCAAATATTTTGTTTCAGGCAGTTAAAAGGCGTTTTCCATCTTCAAAAATGGTCTTGTAATATTGAATAATTTTAGCAGAACAAACAAGTGCCAAGAAATGTATCGTTTGTTCTGCATATATTTCTTGCTCTTTAAAATGGCTTCTGTATTTATGTTTGATGATGATTTCCCCTATTTCAATTTGTTGAATTATGTACCTCTTTCTCTTGATTATTTCTCTCAATCCTAAATCTAAGTTTCAATGTCTAATCGAATATTCTTTATCATACATGCATTCAAGTTTTAGTTTACCATCAGTCTCATGTAAAAACGTAAAACACTTTAATTGCTGAAAGTTAGTGTCAGAAAAAATATGCAACAAAAAAATTGTTTCAGCAAGTCCAAGAAATACCATTTACATTGAAAATAACAGACCAAATTATTTTAATTCCTTATAACAATACCCCGGGAAAAAAATGTTTATTTTGACGTTATTCAAAATTGGTCAAGTATTTCAAGTGTCTCTACAATCTAAAAGAAAAATATGCACTGCAGATGTTAGTTTCTGTTCATAGATAAGATACAATAAGCCAAAAAAGAGTACTGTCTATAAACAACTTTTGTTCAATTTTTAGAGTTCATTATATTATGTTTTATCCATTTTCTACTTAACCCAACATGAAACTTTCTAAAGTACATCATTTTCAGACATGGCTAGTTTCTTAGATGATTATCTTTATAGATGAACTATATACGTGACGGTGACACAAATTTTCATGATTTTTATATATATTTGGGATAAAGAACAATAATTGCAGAAATTTAGTGTCAGAAAAAATATGCAACAAAAATATTGTTTCGACAATTCCGAGAAATATCATTTACATTGAAAATAACAGACCAAATTACTTTAATTTCAAATAACAACACCCCGTGAAAAATATGTTTATGTTTACGTTATTCAAATTGGTCAACTATTTCAAGTGTCTCTATAAACTAAAAGAAAAATGTGCACTGCAGATGTTAGTTTCCGTTCATAGATAAAATACTACAAAGCCAAATAAGGAGTATTGTCTATAAGCAATTTTTGTTCAATTTTTATAGTTAATTATAATATGGTTTACCCCCTTTTTACTTAACCTAACAAGTAACTTTCTAAAGTACATCAAATTGAAACAAGGCTGGTTTCTTAGGTAATTATCTTTATACATCCCATTTACTCAGAAATACTGAGTTTATGGTCTATGGGGAAGTGTTTGTCGATTAATGAAAGGAATTTGTGGCCAATGTTCGTGTAGATGTTTTTGCTGAATGGAGGGTTGTACCAAAGTATATTTTGTCGAAGTCTGTTTTTCCGTTTGGTAGTAGAGTCTGAGTCGAATTTTAGTATGTATCGGTATCCGTTTTCATCGAGTGCTTTTTGGTATGGTGCAGTTATTTGGTCAAATGATGCTTTGTCCGATGATAGTGAAGATAGACGTTTGTTGATGGCGTCGGGTATGTTCTTCGTTATGGATGGTGGATGGTTGCTTTCGCTGTGGACGTATTGCAGAGAAGTGTTGGGTTTTGTGTAAGGGCGATATGAAAAATTGTTAAGATTGAAGGTGATGTCAAGGAAGTCGATGATTTTTTTGTTTGCTTCAATAGTTATGCGTAGTCCATTGTTGTTGAATATCCGGCATATTTTCTTTTTTAATATTCTCTGTTTCTCGAGGTGTGGTGTTTGAAATGGCAAGTCCGTCGTCTCGATAAAGTCCTATGTCTGTTGTGATGTTTTGTAGTTGAGAAAGGAGTTAGCTTCCTACGAGTTCGCATGTCTCAGCTCCGTCGAAGCTACCCATTGTGACGTCGAATGTTAAGTTATATTTCTTTTGCCAGGGTTGTTGGTTGTGTATAAGGAATGAATTCTTAGCGTGTATAATGATGTTTTTCGGCGTTTGTGATGTTGTCGTAGGTTGAGGCAAAATCCAGTGCTTTGTTAAGTAGGTCTTGATTAATGGATGGATAAAAGTCTACGATGTCGAAGGATATGAAGGTGACGTTTTTTTTGTGTTTGATAGATTTGAACCACTGGATCACAGATGATGAGAATAAATTAGTAAATTATTAAATAATAATTTATATAAGTATTTATAATATTAGTTTGCTCATTATTTCTAATATTAAATATTTCCATAATTAATGATTAAAGAAAACAAACGAAGAGTGGAAAGGCATCTTTTTGAACATGATGAAAACTACATGACGTTTTAGCTACTGGATCTTATAAAACATCAAAGTTCGCTTCAAAACAAAGATTTAATAAAACCAACTTACTTTACCATCTTTACAATCTTTCATAGCTTTCTTTACCATAATACGTGTGTCTAATATCACCTCCAACATTCTAAAATAAATCAAACTTTTTGAACATATAACAGCCAAAGATATCAAGACCCATTTAGGACAGTAAAGACTTAAAAAGGAACGCTATGTACATCGAATGACAAAGAAGGAACGCTATGTACAACGAGTGACAAAGAAGGAACGCTATGTACATTGAATGACAAAGAAGGAGCGCTATGTACATCGAATGACAAAGAAGGAACGCTATGTACATCGAATGACAAAAAGGAACGCTATGTACATCGAATGACAAAGAAGGAACGCTATGTACATCGAATAACAAATAAGGAACGCTATGTACATCGAATGACAAAGAAGGAACGCTATGTATATCAAATGACAAAGAAGGAACGCTATGTATATCAAATGACAAAGAAGGAACGCTATGTACATCGAATGACAAAAAGTCTTGCATTATATACAACAAAATGCAAATGTTATTTTTTCAATAATGTTTTGAATCAATAAAAATGTGACCTGTAACCAAACCAAATGAATGTGAAATATCCCACATTACCTGGGTAAATTTCCTCGTCTTATGTTAGATTTTACAAAAACAGAGCCGTCGCGCTTAGATGAATATCATCTTGCAGTTTCTGAAAGGAAATTTATTGTTTCAAATGTATTGCTTGTCGTAATGGTAATTTATTAAAAATTCTCACCTCCAGTAATGTTGGAGGAACATTCAACGATGTACAACCAAACTCAAAATGAACAACGACAAGTAAGACAGAGAAAATGACTTTTTACCTTAATTTTACAATCCATGCTACACGACAGAAGAAGATGAGCAGATTTCGGAAAGAATCCTATTGCAGAAACACCTTTAGAGTGTGACCAGACCTAAGAGAAAGATAAAATAATACAATAATACATAAGTACGAATATCTCCATTGCCTTCTTTTATCACGACGGTAGAAGGATGAACTACAGGAAAACAAATACTTCAATGTTATTAAAAAGTGCTGTATAAAGTGAATATTTGCATCAGGAAGTATCGTTACGTTTTTGTCGAGGTTAGTAGAGTCCTGTGAAGGACTGTTGCTGTTGATGTTGACTGACGTTTCAAAAACCTTAGCAGTAGTCATCTTTAATGTTAAATGATAAGTAAATGTCGGACATTAATAACGCAATATTTGTTGAAGCTCTCAGACCCGCCATGGAGCGAGTAATCACTCAGGAATTTAAAGGCGCTGGTATTTATCTTCCTGGGTCAAGAAAAATAGAAGGCGATAGCTTTATTGGAAATCTTATAGGAAAACTCATACCTACGGTCACTAAACTCATACCAAAACTGTTACCGTCTCTAGGCCTAGCAGTTATATCAGGTGCTATCACCGGCAGCACGCAAAAAGAAGTTGCTGGTAGTGGTGTAGTTAGGAAAGGTGGTGCAGCTGCTAAAGTGGTGGACGTAATAACTACACAGTTCACGGCGTTACACTTTCAACGGCTCAGAAAAATAACCTGGCAAAGGCAGTCAGAGAAGGAACCGCACTGACTATACGACTTACCAAAAAAAGCACTTGACGGCCCTGACATGCTTATGCTTACTAAGACGCAAATTAAGCGCATAATGGATCTGGGTTGGATTTAAAATTGTCTAAGAGTCAGATTACAGCCATGGTTTCATTTTATAAAGTACTAGCAATTTTTTCTCGCAATAGTCACCATCTTCTGTAATAAAAATAATCACTATGTGTACTTTACCTTGACAAAATACTAATGTCACTTAAGTTTAGTTCCTCTCTTTGAGCAAATAATAATGTTCACTATCCTTAGCAACAATTTCTTTTGCAGAATCTAAAGAGAAACAAACAAACATCAATTTGTTATCTTACTAGAGAGGTTACTAAAATTGATCTCTTTGTTTTAGAATTAAAATCAATCTATTCAAAAAAATCCTACCAATTTTAGGCTTTTTTGCAATGGGTTGATTTCTTAGATAGCAACTTCTGGTTTGATGTCGTTCAGCAAGGCTAAGTGCAACATTAGTGAAGTTTCCAAAGTATGAAGCCAATCTTTTAAAGTAACTGTGCTTTGCTTCATATTGCATGCACCAGTTCGAATCATTGGTCCAAATCTGAAAAATCAAGGACTCATGTTAGATAGAGGAAACCAATGATGAAATTTTTACATGCATTTTGAGTTACATACCATATTTTTATTTATAAACTAAGATACAAACTAGCAAAATCATACCTGTAAATGAGTTGGGTAATGAACCAAGTAATGCATCTTGGGTATAACTGAAAGCCCAGGATAAAGCTGGGTGAATTTCCACAAAAATTTCTTCAGGTCTCTTTCCAGGATAGCAAGTTCATCAGTGCTTTTGATTGGTGAAAAAACAATGTCAACAATTTTAAGGAGCAACAGAAAATGCATCCACTTTTCTTCATCCTGAGGAATGGCAATGCCGAGAGCTAAAGGAAGGAATTTTCCAAGGCACCACATTTGTCTTGCTATAAAAAGAAAAACCAATCATTTAAATCAAGGGTGATGGTATTAATTCTTGTGACAATCACTACACCCTACCTTTTTGCTTTAAACTATTGTTTTCACTCCTCAAAGTTGTCCGCGTGATTGGTGATGGCTTGTTTTTATCATTAAAATATCCATAATCAAAAGAGTTAATTCTTTCATTAAGTTGCTCCACTGTTAAAAATTTTTCTTTAAATATGAAGTCCTTCAGCAATTCTTTACATACATACTGAAGTACTCCTTCTAGTATATCATGCATTGCATCACCTGGCATGCCATCTGCTAGATGAAAATACCTAGAGTTGAAGAACTGATCTCCTGCAAAGCCCATATGCTTTACTCAGTTCTGGGTTTTCTTCAATTTCTTCAATCTACATTTTATCTATGTTGAAACAGGTTAATAATGTATTATAATAAACATACATACTTTCTGCTTTATTTGTTCAGTGGTTCCCATGCATTGCTGGCATTTCAAATGTGCACCTGGACTTTCTTTGAATCCACCCATGAGTTGTGATCCAAGATTGTCTCCAGAAACCAACACAATAGTCCCAGAAAATGACATAGGTTCACCTTTAACAATGAACTGGTGACCACCATCCTCAAAAAAGAAGTGTGACAGTTAATTTTAAGCAATTTTTATCAAACTACTTTTTCTGCACAATTATCAATAACAGGTAATAAGCTAAAAAACAATAAATAGGATCCTTACTTGTTCAAGGTATTCAAGGTCATTCATGAAAGGCTCAAAGAGAATGTCAATGCCATATTTTTTGATAATTAGAACTGTTGCCATAAGGAGTAGGTGAATGTTATCACGCTTGGATCGATATCGAGGATCAATATTTCCAGTTGTGTAGTAAACAACTCCTGTCATACAGAAATAATGGCATATGATGTAATAAGAGCTTCTTATAGCCTTTCATTGCTCATACACTTTTTTACATTTGAGTGACTGATTTAGTCACTATGATGTCATTAAATTATTACCTAACTTATGCTTTCCAGTTTTACTACCAAGGGCATTTGCAATTTCCAACTCATCATAGTAAAGCATGATTTGTAAAGCAGTTGAGTCCTTGGAAAACAGAGATGGGTTTTGAAATACTGGCCATCGCAAACATCCTCAATCACATCATCATGTTTATGTTGCGAAGATGACCATGGTTTAGCTGAAATTGAAATCGAAGAATGAAAATATTAAATTTATTAATAAATTAAATTTATTATTAACCAGCAATGGAAATGTCTGGTGGTAGGATGGGTGCCTTCCTACCATCAGACATTTCAAATTAAAATCAGGCTATTTTCATATTTTCATGAAATAATTGGAATATATTTTTGGAAATGTGCTCTAATAAACGATGTCATCATTGTTTTGCTTTCATGGAAACTAACACAGTAAAACACACATAAAGTTCCTTTTATGGTTATACATAGAACATGTATTAATATTTTGCAACCCTGTTATTGATATGGGTACTTGCAAAGATGTAGTTGTCATAGTTTGATAAACTTGCCAACATAAAAAAACACAACCATGCTATTAACAATCTGACCTGTTCAAGTACTCCTTTTACATTGAGCATTTTTTCCAAGGATTTAAGCAGTGGTATGTACATGATTTCATTATCTTTAATAACCTCTTTGTACACAGTCCTTGAACGTCTTTTCACAACTCTGTGTCCAAGTTTAATTCGTCTGAGTTGCTACAATTAAAATAATGATTATGCATAACAAGCACTAAAGAGCAGCTGGCTCAAATATGTTAAAAATCTCAAAAACTTTATCCAAAACTCTAAACATTCTAAAAAGTCAAAAACATAGAAATAAAACTTACAACTAAGCCAAAATGCTCCTCAAAATAAGCATTCTATTTATACTTTGTGGAAATATGTTTGAATGGACTTGAGATAGCATGTTCTTCATCAAATAATTCATCAAGACCTGGCACATCATTATAATTTAATCCAGCTTTCTCTAAGCAATTTTGTAAACCGTGTTTAAATGCTTTGACTGTTCCTTGGACAAGTTCAGTGGATTCTTCTACAATGTTATCCACACATTTTTGTGTGAGCAGATTGATTTCTTTTGTTTTTAGAAGAAATTGAGCCTTTTTGTGTTCCATTGCTTGAACAGAGTCATCAAGTTCATTTTCCATGTTGAATTCATCAATTAAGAGTTCAAGGCCATCCTCATCAGGACAAAAATTGTTGTGAGTGCTACTCGCTGATTCAACGCAACATAGATGACGTGAGTTTAAGTCAACATTGGCGTGCTTTCTTCTAAGATGACTTTTGTAAGAGTTAACCTAAACAACAACTCTGTGAACGCACTGAATAAGTAAATATTTTTAACAAATAACAAACAAATCAGTGTCGTATCAAGAATCAAAAGCTTACCTTAGCGAAGATTGAATTACATTCCGGCACTTCGGAGATAATAAGCAATCTGGCATCGTGTTCATGAACAGCGACCAAATGATGCATTATTCCAGCGACAGACGTTGAAAAAAACGTTGCACATACCTGACAACACAATCGTGGCATAATTAATTGATTTTTACGAATATTCTTGCGTCACTAGTCAAGTGACAACTCCGTTACCGTTTGTTAGAGCAATGAATGAGTAAAATCAGATCAATATTAAGTGTCATTAAGTGCATTTCTTTGTCCAATTAGTTGCGAACTTGCGGCGATTGGTCGATTTGGTCACACGACACATTACGCAAAGCGGCACGTGCCTGACATCCTGTTGCCGATATATGTAGTCGCGTGGCGTGTTTCTAACCTTCTTGTGCTTTGTTGAAGTGCATTTAACCGTTTAAACTTTTCTATTGTGGGCGAAATGGAAATCAACAAGCAATCATCTGTCGCTGACATTATTCTTTTTTTGAAAAACAACAAATTGGATGAAATTGTCGAAGATTTTAAAGGTATTGTCTCATCCTGAAATGTAGGTCGCATGTGTGAGGGTTGTTGTCTCGTGCATAAATCTAGTGTAGAAAATAATTCAAAATTAGATTTATAGATGACTTGCCTTGTTTACGTTTTGCTAGCAGGCAGATTTGCTCGAGCGCTTTTAGAGAATACCAACAGCAATAACGTAATTTCATTGACGTTTTGCTTCTTATATTTTTAAAGCTAATCAAGTCGACGGCGAGGATTTTTTCAATTTAGAACCACATGATATTTATCAGATGATTCCTCGAATAAAACTTCACAAGAAGTTTACGTGTATTTGGAATGACGTTACTCAAAAGGTAAATTGATGTCTCACAGGTTTTCTACATAAAATGGTTTAGGTATGGGTTGAAGTATCAGGCATGTTAGCCTGATGAGAGGGTAATATTCATATGTGCATGGTATACTTTACTAGATTCTAGTACTACAAGCAATTTTAATTCAACAGATTATATGTAGCATATGAATTTTTAAAAAGAGTTTTTTGCCAATTATTAATCTGCCGCTGTCCATGAGTATGTATGCTGTAGCAAAACTGTCTGTTGAATCACAATTACTTAGAGAAAGATAATTAGTTTTTTGGTTTAATTTTTTCCAGCTGAAAGCAGAGTTAGGACGTATTTTGGAGAAGAGTGATGTTGTGCAAGACATGAAGGAACGATGGAATTTGAACAAATATAAAATGCTGTCTGTTATTAAAAAGACAAAGCAAAAGAATATCAGCAGTATCCTTGAAGAGCTGGAGGATTGTCCAGTTGAAGATGAGAAAGGTTGGTGTAAAAATCAATAAGTTAAAATCCCTATTTATACTGAAGTGTTAATGCTTTAGAGAGTGATAATGGTAATATATTCATTCTATGCTATGTTGATTATTTTAGAGGTCAAGAACCAGTGTATAATGACATGTTTGCCTTATGTGTTAGATGACCAATGCACCCATCGAGTTATGAACAAAAAGCTATTTTGGGACATTGTTGATGTAAGAGTTGATATTGTCACAAATAATATTTTCTGCATAAATGTGTGAAAAAATTGATAAATAATTTTATCTCTGTTGAAGGGTAAAAGCTTGGGGGAAGTTCAAGAGATCATTAACAAAAGTTCATCTCCTGGACTCCTATCAACAGGAACATTAAGAAACATTCATTCAATAATGTTGGTGGCTGAGGTGATGATTGTGGCAAAGCTGAAAATGGAAAATATTGTCAATGCAGTTACTATTTTACTTGCAGTTACTAATTGCAGTTACAAAGAAGTCAGCTGGTGTCGGGTTATAAGATGAGATAAACGAGTGAGCGATGTGTGCCAGCTCTGTTTTGAGATGTGCGTAGTCTTTTTGATTGCGAATGTTGTGTTTTATAGTTTGGTGGAAACCAGCTGACTTCAAAAAACACCACATCCTTAAAAACATTTGCAACAATCCAAACATTATCATTCTCAAACCGCACAAAGGCAACGGCGTTGTAATCATGGATCGTCAAATGTATCGTAACTCCTGCCTTAAAATCATTAACAATACAGCAAAGTTTACCGCACTCAAAGACGTCACACTATCACGTGAAGCCAAATTACAACGACTGTTAAGGAAGCTTCTAAAGAAAGACTCGATTAACAACAAAGTTTATAATGATATCTTCTCCAGAGGTTCTCAACCCTCACGCTTCTATGGCTTACTGAAATTCACAAGAAACGAGAACCAGAACAATCGCCTCCACTACGACTGATAGTTTCATCAATTAACTCGTACAACTACAATTTAGCTAAGTATCTTAGTTCTCTACTAACCCTACTCATACCAGATGACCACTCCACTAAAGATTCCTTCACTTTCCTCGACGACTTCTCATCTTTCACAGCACCCAAACATTATATTTTCATTTGAAACTGAACAACAAGATCAACTGCCATTTCTTGACATTTTAGCAGTGAACTCCATATATATATAGCTGGAATGAACGACAATACATTTTATAGATATAAAATTGAAGCCAAAGTCCTAGTCTCTTGCGCGGTTTGTACGTCAGTTCCATTCCTTCAAAGTCGAATATTCACGCGGTTTGTACGTCAGTTTCATTCCCCTGAGTGCCAAACATACACGGCCAATATAAATTTGAATACAAATTGCAAAAGCATAAACATATAAACAACATCACGACAAACAACACACGAGGACAACTCTTCGCAAAAGGTTATTTTTTACAGCTGAAACTTTACTACAGTGAGTTCGTTGTAACTTACAACTTGTAACGAGGAAAAGCCAACTGAAAATTACACTTTATGCCAAAAAGACAATACAATAAAAAAATATGACGAGAAAATATTTAAGCAAAAATTTTTCTTACATCGGAAGGTAAATTTTCAAACGGTGTCAGACAGTGTTTGTCTTTTTTTGTCATTTCAGTGGATTTAAAGATCAGTTTTTCCGAAGAAAAAAGAAACTTGAATATCCAGTTTCATAAAAATATTGAGTCTATAACTCGCATTTTACTTTTACAGAGCGATTGTATTTTCATCGATTTTGATAGTGCTTGAAATACTAAATGGTTGTCATCTCGGTATCAATAATTGAATATCCTTAAAGACTTTGCATGTTTGTAAATGTAGATCGTCCAGGTTGGTATAGTCCTGAGAAGGACTGTTTTTGTTGTTGTTGACTGACGTTTCGACAATCTTAGCGGCAGTCATCTTCAGAGTCAAAAAAATGACTCTAAGTAGTCATCGCTAAGATTGTCCTTCTCTCTTTGTCCAACAAAAACAGTCCTTCTCAGGACTATACCAACCTAGACGATCTACATTTACAAACATGTAACGATACTCCCGGGTTCAAACCATTTACCGTAAAGACTTTGATATGTTTTAAAGGAAAACCGCAGCGTAAGAGCAGTTTGACCAAGTTCACCTCACCTTGATTCTCGATTTATCACTATGATTCACTTTCCGTGAACCTTTTCATTCCAAAAATTTCGTTATTTTTACGCTCTGATCAAGATCCGAACTCTACCATTACCAAGAGACAAATGATTAAAAAAATTAAAATGAACACGAGAGACTAGAGCCTGACGTGTGATGACGAATGATGACGACAAATATTTTTTTGGCTTCAATTTTTGGCTTCGGTTATCATTCCAGTTATTCAAATGTCGAGTTCACTGCATTTTACTAACAAAATCCCATGACAGCTGTAAAACATCTACATATCACAAACCAACATACACAGGACTTCTGACGAACTATTTTAGTTTTATACCGCTTCCATACAAAACCTGACTTATACGCACACTAATAGACATAGCATACAAACTTAACAACACGAGCAATGGCTTTCAACAGACATAAAAACATCACATCCACTCTTTTACGAAACTCTTTCCCACTACACTTTATTAACAGAACCGTAAAACGATATCTCGACAACAAACAAAGCAACAACCTCAAACTAGACACCGAAACTCCTGACACGACGATCACGACTAACACAAATGAAAATTCCAAAATAACAACTCTATACTTCAAACTACAATACATCGGACATTACTCACGACACACACAACAGACTTACAAACATTATGAAACGCATCTGTACAGATATTGACATTCAACTAATTTTCACATCATTCAAAATAAAAAACCTTTTCTCATTCAAAAACCCAATCCCTGATTCAATTAAATCTATGGTGGTATATGAATTTAATTGCGCTGGATGTAATTCCCGATACATTGGCGAAAATTCACGCCATTTATCCACCAGAATCAGGGACATACCACAACAACAGACAAAACTCTCATATCTACCGACACCTTCTTAAATCTCACTCATGTAAAACCAACTATTCACCCTCTTGCTTCAAAATCATCGACACCTCGTTCACCCTTAAAATCAAAGAAGCACTCCACATTAACAAAACTAGCCCTGACCTTAATGTTCAAGTTTTAAAATTCAATACAATATTTAGTTTATAATACGATTGGACGCTCCCCATTAATTTATCTTATTTCCTTTTATTGTTGTAATTTATGTATCATATTACTTTTATATAAACCCTGTATCACTTATTATTTCACTCATACTGAAGATGGCATCATGAGATGTCGAAACATGTCTATTTTAAAAAAATTTGTCGTGTATATTAAATGCGCATTAGCAATAGTGCTTTTACGAAATTATCCATGAATATCTTATTTCCTCTACTACCTCGTGACCATGCACATGATGTGTATCGATGTAGAACATTACTATTATATAGTAGAAATTTATTTCTTTTTATTATTATATAAAGATATATGAAAGTTAACAAGTTAATTTTCCAAACTTGAGTCGAGCTAGTTTCAAATCTCACCCAAATCAACAAATTTATCTTTATAAAACATTTACATACGTACATAACGCGGAAGTAGAATATTTTACAGAAAAACAAAATAATCGATAAATGGACATGAAACATTAAATCACAAAATCAAAATACAATTTAACAACGAAAGGTAAAGTTTAAAATCAACATACCTTCACAAATTCAGAAAGATTACAACACACAACCAACTACATGATATCTCAGGAGCGGCGTTCTAGTCGATTCTGTGGAATAATTTAAATGATTTACGTTTCCGGTCACGTGAGATATGTTACCCTACCCCTAGGAAAAAGGCTCCTACAATATACCGGAAGAAAAACCCTTTCGTTTTGCCAACCAAACAAATCACTTCATTCGTCTTATGAGACGTGGCTAAAAGCCGGTAAAGTACAGGTACAAAACGTCGGCTGGTAGTCGTGGGAGATACATACGTTGTACTTTGGTCGTTTAACTTATGTTATTGTGTCATTGGTAATATCGATAATATTTTCTGATTTGTGATTTTCTTGCTGGTAATTTTAAAAGATGCCAAGGTACACCAAATAACGGCCTTATAGCTGTTAGACTTTTCAACATTTATTGTCATTTTATAGATTTTATGATAATTTTGTAGGAGCAATAAAGGTTTAAAGCAACTGTAGCTGTCACATATCATGATGAGGATGGCCATGTTGAGAGAGAGGAGGTGGATTTGTCAGAATTGGTTACTGAGGATCATAGAGGAAGCTGTTCTTTTAACAGTCCTGATAATTGTGGTACATTGGAAGGCCATGAACTGGGAATGAAACAAGATAACAGTGATCTTGAAAGTGATGTTCACCATGATTGTGAAGAATCATCTTCTTATTACCAGAAAGTTGAAAGAAAACAAAAAGCATGGGAAAATTTGCAACATTCAGTTATAAAGAATACATTTCAGTTTGCTGGCAAAAATTGGAGCAATCTGAAGTGTATTCATTGTGATAATGAAGCAAAGTTTAGGTGCAGCGATTGTGGTCCAATGGCAAAGTATTGTGAGAACTGTATGTTAAAGATGCACACAACCGTAAATATTTGTCATCATGTTGAAATAATTAAGATACCCTTTATGAGCTAGATATTATAAAAGTTTTTACAGTTAACTCTCTCAACACTTGCAACAAAAAATGCAAAAATAAAATGAGAGTTTACATTGAGAAACATGATATGAAGCACTAGTCTAATATTTTTTATATATGCATAAAAAAGGGGATTGGTTACAATTAATTTTTACGAGGTTATTCATTGCTTTGTAGGATGGCATGTTTTGGCCATATAAACTCATGAACATGCTGCTGTATGATTGTTCATGCCAAACAGCTCGTCACAAAAGAAGTGCTTCTGTTGTTGATGTTAAAGGTATGTTATATGTAAAATGTGCTGCAAAAGTTTTTTCATTTTAGCTGGGATGGTTCAACACAATTATAATTTTGGATCTTTTTCAATTTTAGGCTCCTTTTGTACTGTTGAGGTACACTTTTGCTCATGCTCTCAGAGTTTGTTCAACTTCGGCAATTTGGCCTTTGGGGTGGAACACCTACAAAACCAAAATTGCATTTGCAATTGAGTTTTTTGGAATTGATTCATTCTGTGCATATGGAATGCCAGTCATCAATAAAAAGCATTTGTCAGTCATTTGAAGAGCTTAATCATAACCACATATTCTCTTCTTATGCAACACCAAAAATGTATCCTGTCATTATAGATGCTTTTGAAGAATATAGGTAACTACATGTAGGTCACTGATTTATTGCACTGCTGTACTACGTATGAATTGCTGGGAAAGTTGAAGTCAATTTTATAGCCTAAGAATCTCATCTTAAGAGATGTATTTAATTGGAGGAAATCAAAATGCTAAAGTTTATGATGGGAAAGGGTTTTCCTCAAGTATTACTGTCTTGCACTGTATTTTGTTTATGTCATTTGTTTAAGAGTGCATAATTGCTTACTTTGTGTCATTGTTTTTTTCAGAATTTACAGACATAAAGTAAACATGTTGAGCTGTGTTATTCCTGAGCTTGATGAAGGAAATATCTGTCCTACTTGTCCCAAAGTGAGTTTATTCGTATTACTTGTTTAACAATGACAATTTAGTAAGAAGAACATTAGCAATGCTATCTCAAACACCTTTTTGACTGCATCATTTGCATCATTGAACTCAAATACATTGCATGATTTTATCCTTCACCATTTTATTGAAGACTGATGGTGTGATCTTTGAGTCTCTTGATGCTCTATTTATTGGACGAAGGAAAAAGCTGGGCAGAGTCTTGGAAAACCTCTATTTGGACAACTGATGTTGTATGATCAGAAACATGTTGATCAATTTGTTGCCAATTATACCACACCTACATCAAACAAGGTCAATGTAGCTTTAATATACTTTGTTATTCTAATGAAAATTCAGGCATGGAAGTTACAGTGCTTTGAATATATTTGATTTTTTACATTCTCTACCACATAGTTTTTATTTTCAATAAATTTGTGCCATGGGCTTTAGGAAATAAAGCTCTTGTATACTTTTTTGTTTGTTACATATTGATACTTATAGCGATACTTAAACGAAGTGAAGCCAATTGTCATAACATTAATTATCATAGTTACCATGAATATTCATGTTTCTTTTCATTTCTTGGCTTTTGGGTACATCTCCCAGAACACTGCGTTTATTAAATACAATGGCATACATTTAAAAATTGGCACGCAATTCATACATGTTGGTAGCCTGCAATTACTTAGCTACTGAATGAAGTAGATTTAATCAACATAGCCAAAATAAAATTATATATTTAATATTATTTTACGTCAAACTTTTTCAAGATTTGAAAATGCCATTTAGTTTTATGATCAAGTAATTTTCTAACCCTGGAATCCAATGTTCTACACAGTAAAAATAGATTGGTCAAAATGAGCAAAAAAATTGGTCATTTGAATGCACCTAAGAAGAATCATTTTTATAGGTCAAAACAACCAATTCCTAAATTGGTCAAAAATACCAAAAAGAAAAATGGTTAAATATACCAATTTATTTCACCAATTTTATTTGGTTGTTTTTACCATCAAAAAAGCATTTTTTTCAGGTGCATACCCATGGCCATTTGAGCAATATAGAGGATCTTTTTAACTAAGGTAAAGAAAATCAATCACACAATTATAAATAGCACATTTTTTGCAAACACAGAATACTTAAAATCTCTACTACATGCCATTAATTAACACTACAAAAGTTTTCTACTTCATAGAAGAAATAAAATGATCGACAAAAGTTGGCAATTGAGCCTTACAATTGCCATTCAAATTTAAAAGCAAAATAGCTTTTTGGGACATTGTTGATGTAAGAGTTGATATTGTCACAAATAATATTTTCTGCATAAATGTGTGAAAAAATTGATAAATAATTTTATCTCTGTTGAAGGGTAAAAGCTTGGGGGAAGTTCAAGAGATCATTAACAAAAGTTCATCTCCTGGACTCCTATCAACAGGAACATTAAGAAACATTCATTCAATAATGTTGGTGGCTGAGGTGATGATTGTGGCAAAGCTGAAAATGGAAAATATTGTCAATGCAGTTACTATTTTACTTAGTTCTTTTTATACTTTTAATGCTGAGTATCCTAAAGGCGTTAATGGACATTGCAAAAATGTATTTATTCTTTTAGAACATTTGCTTTTAAATTTGAATGGCAATTGTAAGGCTCAATTGCCAACTTTTGTCGATCATTTTATTTCTTCTATGAAGTAGAAAACTTTTGTAGTGTTAATTAATGGCATGTAGTAGAGATTTTAAGTATTCTGTGTTTGCAAAAAATGTGCTATTTATAATTGTGTGATTGATTTTCTTTACCTTAGTTAAAAAGATCCTCTATATTGCTCAAATGGCCATGGGTATGCACCTGAAAAAAATGCTTTTTTGATGGTAAAAACAACCAAATAAAATTGGTGAAATAAATTGGTATATTTAACCATTTTTCTTTTTGGTATTTTTGACCAATTTAGGAATTGGTTGTTTTGACCTATAAAAATGATTCTTCTTAGGTGCATTCAAATGACCAATTTTTTTGCTCATTTTGACCAATCTATTTTTACTGTGTAGAACATTGGATTCCAGGGTTAGAAAATTACTTGATCATAAAACTAAATGGCATTTTCAAATCTTGAAAAAGTTTGACGTAAAATAATATTAAATATATAATTTTATTTTGGCTATGTTGATTAAATCTACTTCATTCAGTAGCTAAGTAATTGCAGGCTACCAACATGTATGAATTGCGTGCCAATTTTTTTAAATGTATGCCATTGTATTTAATAAACGCAGTGTTCTGGGAGATGTACCCAAAAGCCAAGAAATGAAAAGAAACATGAATATTCATGGTAACTATGATAATTAATGTTATGACAATTGGCTTCACTTCGTTTAAGTATCGCTATAAGTATCAATATGTAACAAACAAAAAAGTATACAAGAGCTTTATTTCCTAAAGCCCATGGCACAAATTTATTGAAAATAAAAACTATGTGGTAGAGAATGTAAAAAATCAAATATATTCAAAGCACTGTAACTTCCATGCCTGAATTTTCATTAGAATAACAAAGTATATTAAAGCTACATTGACCTTGTTTGATGTAGGTGTGGTATAATTGGCAACAAATTGATCAACATGTTTCTGATCATACAACATCAGTTGTCCAAATAGAGGTTTTCCAAGACTCTGCCCAGCTTTTTCCTTCGTCCAATAAATAGAGCATCAAGAGACTCAAAGATCACACCATCAGTCTTCAATAAAATGGTGAAGGATAAAATCATGCAATGTATTTGAGTTCAATGATGCAAATGATGCAGTCAAAAAGGTGTTTGAGATAGCATTGCTAATGTTCTTCTTACTAAATTGTCATTGTTAAACAAGTAATACGAATAAACTCACTTTGGGACAAGTAGGACAGATATTTCCTTCATCAAGCTCAGGAATAACACAGCTCAACATGTTTACTTTATGTCTGTAAATTCTGAAAAAAACAATGACACAAAGTAAGCAATTATGCACTCTTAAACAAATGACATAAACAAAATACAGTGCAAGACAGTAATACTTGAGGAAAACCCTTTCCCATCATAAACTTTAGCATTTTGATTTCCTCCAATTAAATACATCTCTTAAGATGAGATTCTTAGGCTATAAAATTGACTTCAACTTTCCCAGCAATTCATACGTAGTACAGCAGTGCAATAAATCAGTGACCTACATGTAGTTACCTATATTCTTCAAAAGCATCTATAATGACAGGATACATTTTTGGTGTTGCATAAGAAGAGAATATGTGGTTATGATTAAGCTCTTCAAATGACTGACAAATGCTTTTTATTGATGACTGGCATTCCATATGCACAGAATGAATCAATTCCAAAAAACTCAATTGCAAATGCAATTCTTGGTTTTGTAGGTGTTCCACCCCAAAGGCCAAATTGCCGAAGTTGAACAAACTCTGGAGAGCATGAGCAAAAGTGTACCTCAACAGTACAAAAGGAGCCTAAAAATTGAAAAAGATCCAAAATTATAATTGTGTTGAACCATCCCAGCTAAAATGAAAAAACTTTTGCAGCACATTTTACATATAACATACCTTTAACATCAACAACAGAAGCACTTCTTTTGTGACGAGCTGTTTGGCATGAACAATCATACAGCAGCATGTTCATGAGTTTATATGGCCAAAACATGCCATCCTACAAAGCAATGAATAACCTCGTAAAAATTAATTGTAACCAATCCCCTTTTTTATGCATATATAAAAAATATTAGACTAGTGCTTCATATCATGTTTCTCAATGTAAACTCTCATTTTATTTTTGCATTTTTTGTTGCAAGTGTTGAGAGAGTTAACTGTAAAAACTTTTATAATATCTAGCTCATAAAGGGTATCTTAATTATTTCAACATGATGACAAATATTTACGGTTGTGTGCATCTTTAACATACAGTTCTCACAATACTTTGCCATTGGACCACAATCGCTGCACCTAAACTTTGCTTCATTATCACAATGAATACACTTCAGATTGCTCCAATTTTGCCAGCAAACTGAAATGTATTCTTTATAACTGAATGTTGCAAATTTTCCCATGCTTTTTGTTTTCTTTCAACTTTCTGGTAATAAGAAGATGATTCTTCACAATCATGGTGAACATCACTTTCAAGATCACTGTTATCTTGTTTCATTCCCAGTTCATGGCCTTCCAATGTACCACAATTATCAGGACTGTTAAAAGAACAGCTTCCTCTATGATCCTCAGTAACCAATTCTGACAAATCCACCTCCTCTCTCTCAACATGGCCATCCTCATCATGATATGTGACAGCTACAGTTGCTTTAAACCTTTTATTGCTCCTACAAAAATTATCATAAAAATCTATAAAATGACAATAAATGTTGAAAAGTCTAACAGCTATAAGGCCGTTATTTGGTGTACCTTGGCATCTTTTAAAATTACCAGCAAGAAAATCACAAATCAGAAAATATTATCGATATTACCAATGACACAATAACATAAGTTAAACGACCAAAGTACAACGTATGTATCTCCCACGACTACCAGCCGACGTTTTGTACCTGTACTTTACCGGCTTTTAGCCACGTCTCATAAGACGAATGAAGTGATTTGTTTGGTTGGCAAAACGAAAGGGTTTTTCTTCCGGTATATTGTAGGAGCCTTTTTCCTAGGGGTAGGGTAACATATCTCACGTGACCGGAAACGTAAATCATTTAAATTATTCCACAGAATCGACTAGAACGCCGCTCCTGAGATATCATGTAGTTGGTTGTGTGTTGTAATCTTTCTGAATTTGTGAAGGTATGTTGATTTTAAACTTTACCTTTCGTTGTTAAATTGTATTTTGATTTTGTGATTTAATGTTTCATGTCCATTTATCGATTATTTTGTTTTTCTGTAAAATATTCTACTTCCGCGTTATGTACGTATGTAAATGTTTTATAAAGATAAATTTGTTGATTTGGGTGAGATTTGAAACTAGCTCGACTCAAGTTTGGAAAATTAACTTGTTAACTTTCATATATCTTTATATAATAATAAAAAGAAATAAATTTCTACTATATAATAGTAATGTTCTACATCGATACACATCATGTGCATGGTCACGAGGTAGTAGAGGAAATAAGATATTCATGGATAATTTCGTAAAAGCACTATTGCTAATGCGCATTTAATATACACGACAAATTTTTTTAAAATAGACATGTTTCGACATCTCATGATGCCATCTTCAGTATGAGTGAAATAATAAGTGATACAGGGTTTATATAAAAGTAATATGATACATAAATTACAACAATAAAAGGAAATAAGATAAATTAATGGGGAGCGTCCAATCGTATTATAAACTAAATATTGTATTGAATTTTAAAACTTGAACATTAAGGTCAGGGCTAGTTTTGTTAATGTGGAGTGCTTCTTTGATTTTAAGGGTGAACGAGGTGTCGATGATTTTGAAGCAAGAGGGTGAATAGTTGGTTTTACATGAGTGAGATTTAAGAAGGTGTCGGTAGATATGAGAGTTTTTGTCTGTTGTTGTGGTATGTTCCCTGATTCTGGTGGATAAATGGCGTGAATTTTCGCCAATGTATCGGGAATTACATCCAGCGCAATTAAATTCATATACCACCATAGATTTAATTGAATCAGGGATTGGGTTTTTGAATGAGAAAAGGTTTTTTATTTTGAATGATGTGAAAATTAGTTGAATGTCAATATCTGTACAGATGCGTTTCATAATGTTTGTAAGTCTGCGTTGTGTGTGTCGTGAGTAATGTCCGATGTATTGTAGTTTGAAGTATAGAGTTGTTATTTTGGAATTTTCATTTGTGTTAGTCGTGATCGTCGTGTCAGGAGTTTCGGTGTCTAGTTTGAGGTTGTTGCTTTGTTTGTTGTCGAGATATCGTTTTACGGTTCTGTTAATAAAGTGTAGTGGGAAAGAGTTTCGTAAAAGAGTGGATGTGATGTTTTTTATGTCTCGTTGAAAGCCATTGCTCGTGTTGTTAAGTTTGTATGCTATGTCTATTAGTGTGCGTATAAGTCAGGTTTTGTATGGAAGCGGTATAAAACTAAAATAGTTCGTCAGAAGTCCTGTGTATGTTGGTTTGTGATATGTAGATGTTTTACAGCTGTCATGGGATTTTGTTAGTAAAATGCAGTGAACTCGACATTTGAATAACTGGAATGATAACCGAAGCCAAAAATTGAAGCCAAAAAAATATTTGTCGTCATCATTCGTCATCACACGTCAGGCTCTAGTCTCTCGTGTTCATTTTAATTTTTTTAATCATTTGTCTCTTGGTAATGGTAGAGTTCGGATCTTGATCAGAGCGTAAAAATAACGAAATTTTTGGAATGAAAAGGTTCACGGAAAGTGAATCATAGTGATAAATCGAGAATCAAGGTGAGGTGAACTTGGTCAAACTGCTCTTACGTTGCGGTTTTCCTTTAAAACATATCAAAGTCTTTACGGTAAATGGTTTGAACCCGGGAGTATCGTTACATGTTTGTAAATGTAGATCGTCTAGGTTGGTATAGTCCTGAGAAGGACTGTTTTTGTTGGACAAAGAGAGAAGGACAATCTTAGCGATGACTACTTAGAGTCATTTTTTTGACTCTGAAGATGACTGCCGCTAAGATTGTCGAAACGTCAGTCAACAACAACAAAAACAGTCCTTCTCAGGACTATACCAACCTGGACGATCTACATTTACAAACATGCAAAGTCTTTAAGGATATTCAATTATTGATACCGAGATGACAACCATTTAGTATTTCAAGCACTATCAAAATCGATGAAAAATACAATCGCTCTGTAAAAAGTAAAAATGCGAGTTATAGACTCAATATTTTTTATGAAACTGGATATTCAAGTTTCTTTTTTCTTCGGAAAAACTGATCTTTAAATCCACTGAAATGACAAAAAAAGACAAACACTGTCTGACACCGTTTGAAAATTTACCTTCCGATGTAAGAAAAATTTTTGCTTAAATATTTTCTCGTCATATTTTTTTATTGTATTGTCTTTTTGGCATAAAGTGTAATTTTCAGTTGGCTTTTCCTCGTTACAAGTTGTAAGTTACAACGAACTCACTGTAGTAAAGTTTCAGCTGTAAAAAATAACCTTTTGCGAAGAGTTGTCCTCGTGTGTTGTTTGTCGTGATGTTGTTTATATGTTTATGCTTTTGCAATTTGTATTCAAATTTATATTGGCCGTGTATGTTTGGCACTCAGGGGAATGAAACTGACGTACAAACCGCGTGAATATTCGACTTTGAAGGAATGGAACTGACGTACAAACCGCGCAAGAGACTAGGACTTTGGCTTCAATTTTATATCTATAAAATGTATTGTCGTTATCATTCCAGCTATATATATATGGAGTTCACTGCTAAAATGTCAAGAAATGGCAGTTGATCTTGTTGTTCAGTTTCAAATGAAAATATAATGTTTGGGTGCTGTGAAAGATGAGAAGTCGTCGAGGAAAGTGAAGGAATCTTTAGTGGAGTGGTCATCTGGTATGAGTAGGGTTAGTAGAGAACTAAGATACTTAGCTAAATTGTAGTTGTACGAGTTAATTGATGAAACTATCAGTCGTAGTGGAGGCGATTGTTCTGGTTCTCGTTTCTTGTGAATTTCAGTAAGCCATAGAAGCGTGAGGGTTGAGAACCTCTGGAGAAGATATCATTATAAACTTTGTTGTTAATCGAGTCTTTCTTTAGAAGCTTCCTTAACAGTCGTTGTAATTTGGCTTCACGTGATAGTGTGACGTCTTTGAGTGCGGTAAACTTTGCTGTATTGTTAATGATTTTAAGGCAGGAGTTACGATACATTTGACGATCCATGATTACAACGCCGTTGCCTTTGTGCGGTTTGAGAATGATAATGTTTGGATTGTTGCAAATGTTTTTAAGGATGTGGTGTTTTTTGAAGTCAGCTGGTTTCCACCAAACTATAAAACACAACATTCGCAATCAAAAAGACTACGCACATCTCAAAACAGAGCTGGCACACATCGCTCACTCGTTTATCTCATCTTATCACCCGACACCAGCTGACTTCAAAAAACACCACATCCTAAAAACATTCGCAACAATACAAACATTATCATTCTCAAACCGCACAAAGGCAACGGCGTCGTAATTATGGATCGTAAAATGTATCGTAACTCCTGCCTTAAAATCATTAACAATACAGCAAAGTTTACCCCACTCAAAGAAGACGTCACACTATCACGTGAAGCCAAACTACAACGACTGTTAGGGAAGCTTCTAAAGAAAGACTCGATTAACAACAAAGTTTATAATGATATCTTCCCCAGAGGTTCTAATCCCTCACGTTTCTATGGCTTACCGAAACTTCACAAGAAACGAGAACCAGAACAATCGCCTCCACAACGACCGATAGTTTCATCAATCAACTCGTACAACTACAATTTAGCTAAGTATCTTAGTTCTATACTAACACCACTCATACCAGATGACCACTCCACTAAAGATTCTTTCACTTTTCTCGACGACTTCTCATCTTTCACAGCACCCAATTATTAGATTTTCATTTGAAACTGAACAACAAGATCAACTGCCATTTCTTGAGATTTTATTAACAAAATCCCATGACAGCTGTAGTACATCTACAGGACGTCTGACGAACTATTTTAGTTTCACACCGCTTTCATACAAAACCGGACTTATACGCACACTAATCGACAGAGCATACAAACTTAGCAATACGAACAATGGCTTTCAACGAGACATAAAAAACATCACATCCACTCTTTTACGAAACTCTTAGCCACTACACTTTATTAACAGAACCGTAAAACGATATCTCGACAACAAACAAAGCAACAACCTTAAACTAGACACCGAAACACCTGACACGACGATTACAACCAACACAAATGAAAATTCCAAAATAACAACTCTATACCTCAAACTACCATTTATCGGACATTACTCACGACACACACAACGCAGACTTACAAACATTATGAAACGCTTCTGTACAGATATTGACATTCGACTAATTTTCATATCATTCAAAATCAAAAACCTACTCTCATTCAAAGACCCAATCCCTGATTCAATTAAATCTATGGTGGTATATGAATTTAATTGCGCGGGATGTAATTCCCGATACATTGGCGAAACTTCGCGCCATTTATCCACCAGAATCAGGGAACATACCACAACGGACAAAAACTCTCATGTCTCACGACACCTTCTTAAATCTCACTCATGTAAAACCAACTATTCACCCTTTTGCTTCAAAATCATCGACACTGCTGACGCCTTACTCACCCTTAAAGTGTTACTATGACGAAAATTTTGCCTCTCGTTTTTTTTCATAGATTAATAGTGTATGTAAAAAAATGTCTTCTGGCGAAATTTTATCGCAATATATTTAATGCTGCTCGAGTGACGAAGCGATAAATCTTGAACTTTAAGAGCTGCCAATAAAAGGCGCTATATTTGTATTTTCAAGAAGGAAGGTGCTTGTGACGTCATAGTCTTGACTTGCGGCTGTTTACAATATAACACTATATACAAATAGAGATTTAAAAGGTTATATATT